TTTGGTGAGCTTGCCTTAGCTTGGTAAAGTGAGGTTACTCTTGGACAGAATACTATTTGTGTATTGGCTTTAAATACTTAATCTTGGCATATCCCTTGTTCAATTGGCAAGGCAAATACAACATGTTTTTTAGTTAATCATATTCATATCACATTTCATCCGCACACTTCACATCAGCATTAAAGAAACAGTGAGTTTTATGACAGCTTGTGCTGCTGTTAGAGTTCACATATCATAAATTAGGCCCAACCAGCTGAGCTCTTGTTTAGCTACTCTGGATTAGCTGCTGGACTATGAATTGAACTTGAATTTCCGTCGGGATAAATAAAGTATCTATCTATAATCGGACTCAATGAACTTGGCCATCTGCTGTTTTTCAATTTTGCTTTTCACAGAGGATTTTTTCTGCTCCAAGCCAAGACTTTTGAGCTTGTAATATGATAAAGTTAATGATTTATCTGCTGCAGAGCCGGTGTGTCATGTGCATTATGCTGCTCATCAGGTCGATGTATTCTCTTCAGTTCATAGTAAATTTCCCTTGATGATTGGTAGTGCATTATTAGGAATAGGCTGGTGGTCAGTTCCTGGTCCAAGCATTTTGCAAAATAATTGAAATAATTTAGGGTTCAGTTTAACATGGGGCCAAGAAAAACCGAGAATCAATCCTAACCCCTAACCCTAACTCTAAGCCTACACCTGATGGACAATGTGCTCTACTTTCTGAGCAACAGCAGCCTCAAAGTGGACATACAGGTTGTCCATTCTTACAAATAGCTGAGTATTTACTCAAAGGTGGCCTGGATTGACAACATGAATACAAGAACAGTGTTGCTCTGTCTACTGAGGAAGCTAAGGCAGTATGTAAGGCAGCCCTAAATTCACTGAACACTCTGTAGTGGAATTATTTTTCTCCTATATTGTGGTCAGCAGGGGCAGTGGCATCTTGACTGACTACAGACAAAAACATAAACTTAGAGGGAGGTCAGCTTTTCCTGGGGTGCTCTTTGGTTTCTCTAAAGCAGTGGTTCTCAAACTGTGGGACATCGAGCCAATGCAGGTGGCCGTGGACAACCAGGAGAACAATATGGACCGAAACAAAGCTAAATAAATAGGAGTTTTCTGATCCTATTACACTCACCTTTATTTCACTAAAATTCAACTTGAATCCTTTTTTATTAGTTAATCATTACCAAAAAGTGTGGGGTGTGAGGCATGAACCTTTTTTCTGCTTTTGAAGAGGGGTATGCTAGAAAAAGTTTGAGAACCATTGCCCTATAGTATGTGGGGTTGAAAGACTGATGACCAAACTTTCCATTATGTGCAACACATTCCACCCACTCTGTACGACCATAAGTGCTTTTGGCAGCTCCTTCTGTGCCAGCATGCTCCACCTACAGCATATAAAAGAGGCACCTCCTCCCTGCTGTGGCTCTACAAAGACCGCTACCCTCAGTGGACCACAACAGAACCTCAACTAGACCAACTATAACATTCAGGTGTTTTTAACTGAATTGTTCTCTGGCTCACTGAGCATTATCGTTGCTGTTAACTGAACACAGTTTAGCTGCTTTTCAACAATATAATTGTTTACTTATTACCTCATTCAGGTGCAGTTTTGAGGTTTTACAGTAAGCAAGTAAAACTGTTGAATCACTCGGTGTCTTAATTTCTGACTTATTTAATATGCTCTACTATCTAATGTATTTATCATTGCCTATTTAATTTTCTTTTCTTTTAATGTGTATATTACTCCCAGTTTTCAGTGCTTTTATGCAGTTGCTGGTTAATTTCCATATATATCTACAGAAAATGTAATCCAAGCATGATGTCCCTCTGTTGATAGCCAACAACCGCCCATAGCAAGTCCATAGAACGACTGAATCAAAAATATCAGAAAAAGATAAAGGAGTACAAATGTTAGATTTCTGGTTTTTATCAGAGTGCACCCAGGTGCTAAACTCATTTCTCTCCTTCATTAGAACGAAAGACTTTTGGAGCCAGCTGCTGATGGAGTTACCTAAAGCCAATGAGGTGTAATTAACGCAGAGCAGTGCTTGGGCATGTGTTATTGCCCCCCTGTAGGCCCAGCCCAAAAAGCGAAGTGTCTTCTTGCATTACAAACCATGCATATTGTTAAAGCAGTCTTGAGTGCGGCCACCCAGAAAGGCTACATTTTGAAGCCTCTCTATCTTTACTCAAAGCCTCTAGCCACTCGAATGGTCCCTTGCATTTACTTCAAGGTTAATCATAGTTTCTATCTGGTAATTAGAAAAACAAATTGTATTAAATGGCTGAGTGAACATTAAATACATTCTATCATTTCATAACTGGGATGACTGTTTTTAACGACACAATTGTTGCACATTTTTTGTTAGCTTTGCAATGTAATAAAACATGAATACAACCACCAAGCTTTAGATGTTACTCTGCAGTAATTCAATAAAATACCTTTAACGTGTTTATTTAAATTGACTGTATAGTAATTATATCTGACATTGCATTAACATTTTAACATCTACCAATTTATTTTTCTCTTTACATTTTAATTGTGTACCATCTAGCTGTTTAAGAATTTGTTTGTAATAGTAAACCATAAGAAAATAGAGATAAAATCATAGCAACACTAGAGACAAACAGACAGACAATATAATTAGCATGTAACAGGATGAAACGTGAGACAAAAGGGCAAAGGTGTTAATTGTGTTGTGACTTTGTGTTAAAATGCACAAATTGCTCATATACAGTCCTTATTTAAACTGTGTAAGATATGTATTGGCTCTGATATGATAACAGAGCTCATTCACAATTGTTTGTGTAAGTATATGAAAAAGATCTTTGACCATAGCTATTATTAAAAGCTGGTGCAGGGTTAAGTGCTTGTGAAATGTCTCATCTAATGCATTCCTGTCTTGTTGAGCTGTGTCTGGGTAATAGATTACAAACTAAATGAGAAAAGGAGATTATTTCAGAGCTGGAAATAGAGCTTGATGGTCAAATAATTTGTGTAATAATGTAAAGTCACACCATTGCCCTACGGTGGAGCCAACACAGCTGTGGGTCCAAGGAAGATGCTGGGCGTAAATCTTGTGAGGCCTTAGGTTAATTGTGGTCCTTGGTAGTGAGAGCCCTGATTGGAAGACAGTAGAAGAGAGAGAGAGTATGATATGCAAACCAACAACTCTGTTGTAGAAGATTAAAATCAATTTTAGAGCAGTAATAGTCGTGTCTCTCGAGACCATGTGTATGTGTTTGTGTGATACTGATAATACGGAAAAATTACACCTGTTATATAATTGAGATTATATAATATATATATGTTTTAGAGGTTGGGTCAGTCATTCTGGAGAAAGCTGATTATTGAATCTTATTCCCAGGGCTTCAAATACTGACATTGTGGGTTGCCTGTGTTGCTGATTTTGTTGTTGTGATTCAGGTTTTCTAATTTGTTTTGTTTTTTTCCATCTGCCGGTTTGTTGGCACAGTGTGTTGGTTATTAGCACACATTTTGTTGTTAAATGTTTTGGCCTTGTGGCTGTATTTAATCTTATATTTTCTCATCTAAATCATTTACACCATCTCAGATTTCAATTTTCAGCAAAAACAAATGTTCTTTTTGCAGTAGTATTGTATGTCTTTTCTGAAAAGCACAAATGTGTCTAACTGATACAGGCAGTCCTCCTAATGGCTGCATAATTTGTTGGCACATGTTAACCTTATCATCTCATGAGTATATTTGAGAGGTCATCATCACATGGGAATAACTCCTGCTATGTTTTTCAGAGGAGCCATTGTTTTCTAACTCATCCATGGGCCTGCTGACAGTAATAGAGCGGTTTATTTGTAGTTGTAGACACACAATGACGGTTAAAGAGATTTATAGAACAGAATGCTCCTCTTTAAGGCTTTCTGTCCCATTTTCCCTCTGTCTACGATAAAATGCCATCCCTGCAGAAGGTTCCTGTTGGCATTTTTTGTATGTGTGTTTATTTGTGTATGGGTGTGTGTATGTTTTCTTTGTATACATGCATTGGTCATTGTGTAGGCACTTCAGTATGTATCTATGTGTTTCTGTGTGCATTGGGTTCTCATCAAGTTCTCATCATCACACCATCAGCAGGTGTCTTCTTTTGGATGGAAGCCATAACTATTGTCTCATACAGCAAATGAGAGAGTTTAACAATAATGCAATTTACTTTCCATTCCTTTTTTTCTTCATGAAAAACAGGACTTACATTTTGTGATCATTAACTATTGCCTCTTAACCGTAAATGAAGATGGCTTTAATTGAATGAATGAAGATGGAAAAAGGGGACACTCTTGGCATCTAATAGGATTTGCAGCATATATACATGGTTGCATGTTATCCATTATTTGATAATTTGTCAATACATGCAGCCTACAGTATTTGGCTCAAACAAACACACTATGAGTCCAGTAAAAGTCTAATTCAATGGTATATTGTATGTGCAGAAAAAGTAGTGTCTTGTGTCAGGGAAATGTATTGTAATGTCCCCTTTACTGTGAAAACTAAATCAGGACAGCCTGACCGGTTTCTTTTCAACAACATAACAGTTACTTTAGTAACCTCGTTTAGATACAGAGCACACAGCCTTTCCGAGCATATGCTCATTCACGCCGACTTCCCTCTCACAATCTCCAGACAAATTAATTTCTCCGAGTTGCCTTCAGCTGCAGGTCTGGCCATTGCACAGCTGTTGCAACCAACTGCAGCACTTTAAAATTCTCTCAACACTATGAATCATTCAGTTTGGCAAAATATCCAGGACTTCTAGATTCACTGTAGATGATGAAGTACTTAATCATCCTTTACCCCCATTAATGAAATACAGAGCAGAATGCATTATTTAAATAAAATCTAAGCAAAACTATACATTTCTGTCACTGCAGGCTAAATCTAAACTAATGATCATATCATTGTTCTTCTCTCCCCTACCCAACTTCTGGCTTGTCATGCACTGCTAATATGGACATCCACGCAGGCTCAGGTCAGTGCTGTTCATTCTGTACATATACTATGCTGTAGCTAATGAAGACAAAATGCATGCCAGATCTGTCCGAGTCACATACTCCTGTGACCCTTTTGGTCTTTTGGTCGAGAGAAAAGAACAATAGTTTAATTGGAGAGAGTGCTACATTGATAGAAACAATTTATGTGAAGTGCATCTGGATGATATTCCATCTGCTTTTTAACTAGAGGGACTCAGATTGACATTTTCTAAAGAACGTTAGGAGTTCATTAAATTGTCGGTAAAACTTTTGAGAGTGTGCTCAAAGAAATTGAGCTGGGTAATTCTTGTATTGCTTATCTAAAAAAGATTTTTGATTTTAGAAGTGTCTAAACGAGAACAAAAGAGCAGAGGATAGAGATTGCCAATAACATTAAACCAAAATCCGGTCTGTACCAGCTGATTCTAACTGAAAACCTATTCCACTTCCCTCTACGATGAGAGCTCCTTGTATGTGACCTAAGATGTACTTGGGAGTAAATCCTGTATTTTTCTCCGTGGGTGTATCATAGTACAACAGCTTTAACCTGCCAACAAAAGATTTAATATCTGACACCTTATGTGTTGTGGCACCCTTGGTAAGTGCTATGGTCACATGATTTCTCACTGAACAAATGGTGTTAGTGCTCAATAAATAGTGTATATATTGGGGAAAGTGACTAGAGAGTCATTTTTCCGGTGATGAAAATTAGCTGTTAAGCTTGAATTGTGTTTCTACAGTAGTAGTGGAAAAGTGGGAGCAGAGCAGTTGCCAGTTTACCCAGCAGGGGCATCTGCAGGGACAGATGGGAGATGATGAGGGTGTGTAATAGGCATCTGTGTGGCCCATAGGGGAGGGAATACTCCACACTCATTCCCTCTCTCTAGTCTGCACACACACACACACTTACAGACACCCATTACAGCTTGTCATAGCTTTTTCCACAAATTGTCCTCCAGAGTATACCTTTTACTGCGGCAGACTGTTACATAGATTGAGAGTAAACATGTGTTTACAGGAGCATTGCGCTGGCTGTTCCCTTGGTTATACAGACATGCCAGAGTCACTGGTTGAGTGGGGAGAAGTGAATAAGCCCAACATCCAGCCAATTACATCCTCATCTGAAGTGCCTATTGCCATGGTCATTGTCTTTTTGCATACCCCATGCTGTTCTCTCCATACGCATACACTGATTTCTGTTTGAAGAAGAACAATACTTTCTTGTCCTTTTCTGCAGTGATAGTATAAGTGCCCATTAGTTAGTTCAGAGCCCGTCTGTGATGCACTTTCTGTGTGAGTGTTGAACATTGCTTTTATTATATATTACTCACAATCTCTTCTATACTTTCAATTATGCTTTCTAGCCTGTCATACACTGAATGTAGGAAATATAAGGAATATCAGGATATTCAATTCCAGCATCTTTGGCATCACTAAATAATTATTTCCTTAATTGGGAGTAGTCTTCAAAACATCCAAGGGTTGCAATATACACATCCATAACTGCACAAGTACTTGATGTTAAATCATGAATACAAAAAGAAGAGAATATGAGCACATGTCTTCTTCTTGTCATAAAAAAACAGCATGTTCACTTGAAAAGCTTCTAGATTAAGGCAAGAAGTTATACCAAAAAGCACAACATATTCTTTTTTGGTTATTAAATTTACCAAAGGAGAACCCATAAGGAATACTCTCTTTTAACTCCAATTTCCCCTAATATCTTCTATATTCCCTACAAGTGTATGCACCAACTCTATGTAGCATGCTTGTGTGTACTGATTTGTATGCCTGTCTATTTTTTCAGGTAACACACTCAGCTTTTTTCTATAATTCCTCATGTGTGTCCTTTTCCTTGTGTGTGTCTGTTCATGCGTGTTTGCACATGCACGCGTGCAGGTGTACCAGGCTGTGCGGTGCCACAGTGAATGCAGCCAATACGAGTGGAGGATCGAGCCCTGGTCCATTTGTACCATCAACACTGTGGACGACCTGCCAGCCTGCGGAGAGGGAGTCCAAAGCCGCAAGATCAGGTCAGTGAGCGGGTTAGACTTGGCAGACTGCTAACCTGGCACTGAAACACACACCGGGAGGAGTAGACTGGCAATGGTCCTGTAGTTGGCACTCACACTGGTCCGGACACTGGCAATGCCAGGGGAAAACAAACAGTCAAAACACACTACTGCTCCTAATGAGTGTTGTTTGATTTTTTGCAGTGCCTTTTTAGTGGTACTTAAAATAGCCACAGAGGAAAGCAGTGAAGTGTTGACTTTTTGCACGCACAATCAGAAGTGGGAAATGCCTAATTCGACAACTGGGTTGTTGTGTCAGATGCAACTGAATTGGACTTGTTTAGTCTAAGCCTAAATCTTTAAGTGCAAGTCACAACCACTGATCTAAAACTGGTCCCAGTAAACCACTTTCTGTGTCTTAAAAATCAACTTATTCTCCCCATTTCAGTAATTTGAATATATTCTGTATATCTCAGCATTTCATTAATTTTATGTGAAGAAGCTAAATGAAAATTAGATTAATATTCAAGATATAATCTCAAAAAACATCTCACAGAATAAGGGCACAGTTAAGACCTGAACATAAGGCATATACACAGTCTTCACTGTCTGCTTAACAGCCTCGTTCTGCATTAGTAAAGTAGTACAATTAAAGAGCTAATACAATATGGCCAAATTGTACAGTTTATCAGTTGATTATTAAGCACTGAATACAATGTGAAATAGCTATAAAATAAGCCACTTAGTCAGGGGAGTTTATTCAATGATAGAAAAGAGGTCTTTTAAGGAAAAAAAGTTGTGAAAACAGTACATACAATTAAATTGAACCAATGTTTTATTTTTATACAGCTAAATCTTTGGAGAAAGCAGACACAAGACACATCGTAGAGACCCTGTATAACTAAACGAGCTGCCAAATCTAACAAAAAAAGATTGTAATCTTTTTTAAGTCAGAAACTTAGAAATGTGTTAGGGGTGCCCCAGAGACTAGTTATACAGCTGCATCTGCTGCTCTGCTAGGTGTGTGAAGAAGGGAACAAGTGGGGAAACCAGCAGTGTGGAGGACAGTCTGTGTGATCAGGAGGAAATGCCACCCAGAGCCCAGGTCTGCTTTCTGGCCTGCCCCAACGACTGTGTCACGACACCCTGGGGACCGTGGAGCAACTGCCCTCTGGTAAGGAGCAATACCTAAGTAACTGCTGTCTTGGTTGGTTGACAGGTTGTGTGCTAAGTCAGATCATTTACACCATTGAAAGACCAAATGAAAATGTCCATAATCATCAGCATATAAGTGAACATTTCAAATAAAGCTACTGTAGAGGGTAGAGGGGTAAAGGTCCAGGCATGGCATTAACATTAAAGAATATAGAAGAAAGTCATTTCAAAATTGACAAAACATTTCTAACATTTGTAGCCAATAATATACATTTGTATGTGTTTATTTAGAAAACTGTCTGAAACTGTAATTACATACAGTTTATTATTAACATATTTACAGTTTTACTCAAATATAAAATTGTCTAAGTAGAATGGTTTTAATTTAAAATATGCTAAAACAGGCATTCTGTCCCTTTTCCTGCTTTTCAAATCATATTTATATCCCATAAAATGAATGTCTTTTGTCTGCTGGTCGGAAGAGAGCAAATTCCAAATGTCATAGTTTGGTTAATTTGTGACTTACATTTCTAATGATTTTTGACTGATCTTAGACTTGGACCCCACTTTCTAGATTACATTACTTGGAAAACAGATTTATTATTAAAATGATCAACAGCTGCAGTACTATTAAAATATTCTACAATACGGAGATATTTTGTTGTTAATGAGACAAAGTGATGAGTTTTGAAATTCGACTTCGTAAATATAAAGATTAAAAACAACATATTCACATTCTAATCACACATCAGGGAAGTGTTAGTAATAATTAGTAATCAAAGCTCATGATCTATGAAGCTCTTGCAGCTGTTTTATAACCATGTGTGGTTTGAAATCACATTCTGACACTAAATTTTTGGGTACTGCAAATTAAATTGAGTCTATGTGGTTGCATTTTCCAGTGAAGATTGGCCCTCAGACTAAAACTATGTAGCATATGTTCCCTAGGCTACTGGTCATGCGGTCAGTAGACTGTGGTAGCCGTGTTTTAGGTTTCATGTCAAACAGTTCCATGGACTGGAACATTGGACTCAGAGAGAGAACAGGGTGGGGAAAAGAAATATAGAGATTTCTGAATTAGTCTGAGTTTTCTCAACAGACATTTTGTCTATTTCAGTCTTTCAGTCTGCAAGCTTTGGCAGCACTCTTAACATCAGTAAAATGCAGCCATTGTGCATTTGTTGATATAATAATGCTAAAATTGTTCAGTGGTTAAACTATAATATAGACCTGTTATGGAGGATTCAACATTTAAATCAAACATTTAACACTTGTGTGGAGATGATGGTTTTTGTTTGTTCATCCAACCAAATAAGCAGGGCTTATTAATAGAGAGTCCAGTATGATTTAGACTAACTTAGTATAGCTGCATCAATTGATTTTTAAACACTAGGAAGCAGAGAAACTATTATGATTAAAACAAATAAAAAATAGAGCTATCCACCTGAAATGATTCTACTCACTGTGGCCTACATAAATATGTAGGCCATAGTAACTACAAATTTCCACTGTGGTCAAAGGTTTCGAACCGTTCTCGCACAATTCAACAATTTCTTTAATCTAAACCTTGCAAAACTTCACTACAAAATCTCTACAAAAAGCCCAGTCCCTGAATCATTATTGACACTGCATCTCTATTTTCCTCTCAGACAAGCATGTCTCATCCTTACCTGTCTTGACGTCTGGGACAGTGTGCTCCGAGACACTGATGAGAGATGGAAATCCTGACTGAATTTTTCTTTGCAAATGGATGGTGTTAGTGAAAACAGCAATGCTTAGTGTAAAATATGCTGGTCCACTGTAATTGGAGATAGTTTTATAGCCATGGGCCATTCCTGTACTCAGCTGGAATGAGGATGCTGTGCAGTGTGTATGCAGGATTGTGATGAAAACAGTTGTTGTTGTGGGGTCCAAGGGTGGCAAAGTGATAAAGGAAAGCATCCTCGTTAATAACACTGTGATGGTTCTCCACACTGTCCTCATATATTCACAATGGCATGATGGCCAATGATGTTCTTTCCATATAGCCTTGTTATAGCTAAGTTAAAGCCAACTTTGTCAATAAAAATGCAATTATGGGGGATTGTATTTAGCTCTAAGACCCTCTGAAACAGGTACAAATGACAGTATCAAGAATAAACCCAGAGCAGTCTTTATGGCAAACCACAAACAGTGCATTAAAGTTTTGTGTTCACATTATGGTCATAGAATGTCCTCAACCAACAGCGTAAAAGTGCACTTGCACACAAGCAGACTCTCTCTTAGGTTAATTGAAATGAGGCCTTGGTAACATTATTTTTGCAAATCTGGCCACCAAAAGTTATTCATTTGTGCAATTCACTGGCTTCAGGATTGTGTCTTAGATTTCAAACCGAACTGAAATGAAGAGAAAACAAATGGCTGACCTTGACCTGGAGTCAACCCACTGCGCGCTTTGGTAAATATTGGGCATTATTTGTGAACAACAGTGACTTGTATACGGATTTTATACTGGACAAATTCTTAAGAACAAACACTCACACACTTTGCTTTGCCAAACACTATGTTCATATTTAAGAACACCTCTATTCATAAGCTGTTTCCTCAAGCATAGCTTGGGGTGGATTATAGATAGATAGATAGATACGGATATCACTTTACTTGATCCGCCAAAGCTGGGAAATTTACAGTGCTAGCAGCAGCATTAGCACACCACCGTAAGCAACAGTAACATAAATAACAAACATATATATAAAAAAGCAATATAGAAAATGCAAAATAAAAAATTTATGAAAATGTATAAAATGTATAAATAAGCTGTATAATTGTAGAGCAGGTAAAAATAAAAATGTAAGGTGAATATAAGCTGAATGTGAAATGGATGAGGGCACAAGACAAACAAGAAGACCAATGCGTTCACTTATCTATATGATGTTTCTGAAAAGCTACTTGATTTTGAGTTTTTTTGGGGGTTAGTATTGCTAACTTCCCATTTTGTTTATTTTGCATACCCTGTTACTACTTGTTTTAATGCTGTTTGCAAGGTCTTTTGCAGTTTTTATGTCAGTCTATACACACAAACCAGTGTGAAAAGTGAAAGTGAAATATAAGGCAGTATGTGCAATAGATATTCAAAATGTTACTGTGCTTTCAAGCTAAGTTTTTCAGCACTTATGGTAACCATATGGTAACTCAGCTTGCAAATAGACCTAATTAAATGATTTTGTGAACTTAATAAGTTTTATTGGTCTAGTTATTTTACAGTAGTTAAGGTGGTGTGAAAATGGTTCTGGTTCTAATCTATCAACAACCAGATGCAAAATTGAGCCTGCAGATTGCAGAGCCTTATGTTTAATATAGCATACAAATGCATGTGCATGGTTGTGTGACAGTTGGTGTGAACACATTGAGGGTACAATGGCTGTAGCTGAGTCATGAGCCTCACACGGAGGTCCCTCATTAGGAGGTGACATTGATTGAGGTGCAAGTCCTGATACATCGAGAGCAGAGGGACAAATGCAGCTCAGTGCAAAGACCTTCATCAGTACGATCTTTCTTCATCCCTCAGAGAGCGGCTGACAGTTTTTCCACACATTTTCACACATCCTTTGGTCCTCTGTTCACAGATTTACATTCCCATGTAGTGTGACTTGAGTGATTTGCAACTTCTTATCATGCTACTGTCCCATGGCAGACATTTGGTAAATGTTGTACATTGTAAGTTTTCATAATTGCTCTCTCATCTTCATCTGCCTTCAACTATACCGCATAAAAGTCGATGTGACAGTAAATTCTGGTTTTCCCTATTTTACCCACTTTGCACTATTATTCAGACATTCAGCCTGAAAATGTTGTATTAATAGCACACTGAAGGCAGCAGTTACTGTATGTGTCAAATAATTTTGAATTCTATTCAAACAAGTGTGCTAGTTCTTTCCAAGGCCTCGGGAGGGGGGATATAAAAGGATGTTATAAATACAGATTTAGATTTAGATTTGTATCAGATAATTTGCATTACCTATACTGTAAAAGCTCAGCCTGTTCGCCAAGTTTTAACACATTGTTACACCGAAACCATCGTACTGATTCGGAGATACTTTCTTATTTTTTTGTATTTTCAAGTGCAGAAATGGATTTCTATAGTTGGGAAACAGTGGCATTGTTAGGCCTGGGCATCCAAATTATGAATAGTCCGTGATCTCAAAAATAAATAAATAAATACTCTTTGTTAAAAGATAACAATAATAAAAAATATCATATTATTCTGATCATGCATTAAAGCCCTTCAAAATAATATAATATCATATCACTTATCAAAAATGCAAACACGTTTTTTGTCCTCATTCAAGCAGCAGCTCTACTTAATACAGCATGGCACATTTTGTGTGAGCGAGACAGACCGGTTACAGGGCTTTAGGGCTGGTGGTAGCTAAGTATGGATATAAGAAGATTTTTTCAAGAAGAAAAAAGGAAAAAAAAACAGGCAATGAGGCACAGACGGGGCTAGAGGAAGTAGAAGAGGAAGAGTTTTCAACTGTTATTGTAGAAGCAGATGAGTCAGGAGGATGAGAGCTAAGGTTGGTGAGGGCTCTTTAGCTACAGCTCAGTTGTTCCCAAACATTTTTGTCACAAGGCACACCATTTATGAAAACAAGTATATCCAAAGCACACCTTTACATATCATTATAGCTGCATAAATCATCATAAATAAAATTAATTCTAAGAACCACTGGTCTATCTAGTCCTGCACTCACTGTGATATTAAATATGGAAGATGGGCTAAGCATAGAAATAAAGTGGGCGACCTTCCTTTGCTTCTGTAGAATACATTGATAATTCTTCACGCCATAATTAGTTTCTCCTGAAGCATATGTATGAAGCATATGCATGACTGAATTGAAACAAGCACTCCACTCAGATAGGTATCCTAGGTACCAATCTTTACTTTCAATAATAAGCATGTTAAGCTAGCAATAGGCCATGCTTCCAGCAGCAAGGCTATCACTTATTATACATTAGACATATAAACATGTCATACAGAGGTGCGGGATAAGCTCCAAACATCCTCAAATCCAGAACACCCCTGATGGGAAACAATACTAATGAGTAATGTGTTATTTAAAAACACAATTGAAAAAACTAGTTTGTAATTCCAAGCCCACCATGACACGAAGGCAAGATGCCAGTAAATACTGGAGTAAAAACAACACCTCTGGGTTGTTGGCCAATTACACCAGTTTATGAAACTAAAAGCCAGAGACTAATTTTAAAACTTTATTATTAAAAGTGTATGGTTGAGGTGATGAGGTTTAGTTGGCAAAAGAGCAATATGAAGGCTTTGACCTCTCAAAGACTCTTTTGCCAACTAAACCACCTTTATATTTAGTATTCAAATTGCATTTAGCATAAATGACCTGCTATACAAATCTGCTATACAAATTTTGGTTGGCTTGTAATTTAGTTCTTTCCATCTTTTACAGAAAAGATTCAAATTATGGGTATAAAGGGCGGAAAGGAAAGGCTTAATTTAGAAATCGCAAAGATTTTCCTTCATTTCTAAGTTTCACTTGATTGTATTAAAAGATAAAATGATTGAAATGGTTCTCTTACATAATTTCCACAAGTTTCTTTCATATCTCAACAAACATCTCTTTCCAATACGATAATCTCTCCATCGCTTTAAAAGTAGAATATCAGTATAATTTGATCTGTGTAGTAACTGTTCTTTATTTTGCCATTCGGTGGCATTCTAAAATCAATACTGACTTTTTGGCAGGTTTTTAAGGTCATCCACTGGATATTTTCTTAGAAATTTAAAAATCAACCAAGATTTATTTATTTTTTTGATTACAAAATGCATTGATACTGGGTTCAAAAGGGTTTTATATCATTGACATATCTTTTTAACAACAAGAAAATGATTGTGGAGGAGCAACACTTGCAGCTGGCAGTTTTAACTACATATTCACTATTATTCATATTAGGTAGATTTTGCTCAAAAAAGACACAATGTCTTAGAAGTTGGGTTACTAACTTGTGGTTTGCTGGCACCTAAGTAAAGAGAAGAGAAGCGTCTCACCTTGAAGTGACAGTTTGATTTATTTTGCTTTCATTAAATGTGTTTGTCAGGGACCAGGAAATAGTAATCTCAAAGAGAAGATGCTTTGTACCAGATTTAGCTACTACACTTTTGAACTGCTGTTTCTGAGACTTTATGTGACCTGAAGTATTATGTTTGCTAATGTATGTCTATTACAATAATGACTAATAGTAAAATACATAGGCCCACTCCTTCCTACTTTACACCATTATTCAAAATCCAGTTTTAGACATGAAACCCAATATCCTTGTCTTGTTTGGATTGTCACGTAACTTTCTCACCACTCCCTTGTTACTTGTCACTTTCATCACAGTCACTGAAAGGGAAAACCATCTGTCTCAGCCAAAATGAAGCAGAGAAGAATGGTGCACCTCTTTGAAAAATACTTTGAAGCTGTATGAAGATAATACAATTTATTAATTTATTTTGCATAGCTTTAAAATGCATTTGCCTATAGTTTATCCTTGAGAATCAATAAAGGAAGCATGAAATTGGTCTTTTTGGTTATATGAAATTACTCAACTGTGTTAAATTAAAGCTTACAATACAGAATAGGTATTTTATTTATCAATTCATTATTTTATAATCAGACATAATCAAATGTTGCTGTCATAGAAAAGAATCATTATAAACCTCTGTACAAGAATATACTGTATAGTATATACAGCAACATGTCTGTTGCACTTTATCAAGTATTAATTCTATAATAATAAAACACATTTGGATATTTGTGACAACATTATTATTGATGTAAAGTTAGTAATACTGTGTTAGCCAGTACATAACAAATGTAAATGCTGGAGACAGCTTTGAATTTCTTTGGCCTACTGAAGGACCCCTTGTCTCCAAATGGCTTCATCCCATTACCTGTATGTCTGAAACTGAACCCGCACTCTTGACAATAACCTTTGTTTGATGATCCTGTCATTGTTGTGCAGCAATGTGACCAAGGAACAACAAGGAACAGGACCAGACATATCCTCCGACTCCCAGCCTCGGAAAACTCTGCTTGTCCAGAGCTGGTCCAGTCAGAGCCCTGCGTCCTCAACAGCACCTGCTTCACCTACCAGTACAGAGTCTCAGGTAGGACCATCTGCACAGCAGGTCGGAGCTAAAAGATCCCAGTGCAAGTGTATCGACCTAAACGAATTTGAAGCAAAAGATGTGTGCTTGGCCAAAACCTTTTGGACAAAAGTAAAAAAATAAGCATTTAGCACAATGTGGTTCGAACTGACAGTGATCCTACTGTCATGGGCATACAGTCTGGGAGACTAATCTACAGATATGTTGCGTGTGTGTGTGCATTTCAGACTGGAGTACATGCCAGCTGGGGGAAAATGCCATCTGTGGTCAAGGTTCACGGTTGCGTCTCTTGGACTGTATTCGCAGCAATGGCAAGATTGTGGAGTTGCAGAAGTGTGAGCAGGTAAGCACTGCATAGTCAGACCTTAGGTTTGTAATGGCATGCTGCAGTTTCAAATTTTGATTGTACAAAATCATGTTTTCACAGTCATTGTTATTGACAGTTATTGTGTGAATATTTTTTCACTATGCACAGGGACACTAATGTTTGTTTTTCCAACACATGGTGCAGCAAATAAATATAGTACAATGTTTTTTCTATGGCAGTACATTACAAATAATAACACTGCAATTTTTGTTTGAAAGAAAAATGGACTGGACTTTAATTATTTTCCACATACTTGGACATTTTAAACAATGCAGAGGGGAATGAGCAAAATGAAGTTCGCCAAATGACAGCCCTCAAAACCATGGAATATTGGAATAGTATACTATTTAAAAAATATATAAGTTAGTAAGTAAGTTGATTATGTTGCAGTTCTAGTACACTAGTTCATCTTCTGTTTCTACTGGCTTATACATTATTGAAAACCTAGTTGCTCAGTCTGTGACAATGTACACCTTCATGTTTCATTAAGCAAACAAAACACAGCATTTTATTGCCTGGACTTAATCATTAAATAGCAGAAGTAGCTGAGACATTTCTAAGTGGTAGGTTGCAAACCTGCCGCTCACTTCTTGTATATCCAGAACCATATTCCACTTCTGAGTGGAGGAGGTTTTATGGGGATGAAGGCTGTGATGTTGCCACCTCTTTGTTAAGTATGATGTACATTAACATGTGATTTCCTTTTCATGAAAAAATCCAAAAATATACAACTATAGCTCAATACAATTTGAAAACAAAGTAAATGGTTAAATTGCTTAATTGCTGCATCTCCACTGTCCTGAACTGAACTGCAGCCTATTTAAAATATGTAAATGTGGACGCTCCCTCTCTCTTGTTAGTGGAAATCGTTAACTAGCCCTCCTCACAGCTCTGCTCTTGTTTTTCTACAGTTTGGTCTGATCAACAAGTGGAGGCTGTCGGAGAGCTGCGTGGTTGACTGCCCTGTCAGCTGCATACTCTCTGATTGGTCACCGTGGGCGGAATGCTCGCATACCTGTGGTAGCCAAGGTAAACATATGAGTAAACAAATTTAACTTAAACCAATGGGAACACCAACCTGATGAACAGACACAGAGTCGACCACATGTGCAGCGCCTCATTATTCCGTCTACTCAGGCATTCACCAAGTTGTTGAATTGTGCATGAATACATTTAAATGCATTAAAATATTTACAAGTATGTGTAATCCTAAGCCTTATTATACAGGGAAACAGTGTGCTGCATGTTTTTTTCCAATAGGCTAATGTATATATTAATATTCTCACTTCATTATCATTTTGTATGAAGCCCAGTTTTCTTTTAATTAATCCGGACAACTTTACTTTATGAGGTTATATTTTAAGAATTGCAGGTTCATTTAAACTAAATTTTATACAGCTGACCTTTATGAACGTCATAAATGATTCAGAGTTCCTAAATAAAATATATATATCCTTCCTGTGCATGATTTCATAAATGCAATTAGTAATCACCAACCTGTGGCATGCTCAGCATCACTTTGAGAAAGCTGTGTTATAACCTTATGCAATATACAAAAGTTAATGATTTAACCTGGATGCATACATAGTTTCCCAGGCCTCCCAAAGCCAATCTCTTAGAGAGAAAGCTTATTATTCTGTTAATTATATAGACTCAACAGTGTCTTCTTAATTTCATTCATTTTAATTTGTCATTGGCTGTCTCTCTCCTCACAGTTAACCCCTCGTTCCAAAAAGCTCACACTAACACAGGCATTCAACTGGGGATTCAAACTTAAGACTCTCTCTTCTCTGCCACTGTCACTGTGACTGTCTCTCTGTCACTCTCTCAGTTCCTTCTTACACATTGTGAAATGCATCTGTCAGCCTTGATGAGGGATTTGCGTTGTATCTGTGTCAGACGATGCAAAGATCTTGTTTTGTCAGAACGCCATGGGAGCGTTAATGTTTTGGGTTTGATTTTTGAGATGGCAGAGCTGAACATCCTTTTGCTGTGTCTGCCTGGGGCCCATGGAGCTCAGCATCTCCCCTGGCATAACACAAACACATAACTTCTATCTTGACTGGATGGCTGATGGAGACCATGCCTTCTCTGAGCTCAAAGGACCTAGACACTGAGCTGTTACTGCACGTATGGCCAGTCCTTTTCACTGTTGCCATTTACCAAACATATTCTTTCACACATTATTAATGGCTCACTTGAACAAAGCACTTGTGTAGGAAACTGTTAGATATGAGCATAAAGTGGCACGATGACACAGATATATGGTGCTGTTGCACTAAGTCCTCTTTGTCATGAAGGAAATATTTCACAGGCTAAAGAGAAGCGGAGCTTCTTTTCACTCCTAAATAAAGGATCATCATTCATTTCAGCCACTCATTTTATTAACTGTTATTTTATGTTTGTGCAATGATGCATTTATTTCTCTCACCCTGCCTCGATTCATGTTCTAAGTGTATGAATCCCACACTGTTTTTGTTCTTTATTCACTTTTCTTTTTATTCTTTAGAGGTTATTCATATTAACAGTGGCCCTGAAAAACATCAGCATTTTTTAAATTCATACATACAAAGGCAAAAAAAGTATTAAGCTTGGACATTGAAGCTCTATAAATGCAGCTTTATATACTTGGGCCTCCTTTAATGTATTGTTCTTCCTAACAATGTGTTGGCCTTGATGTTCTGCAGGTCAGTCTGTGCGCACCCGGACAATTCTGCAGGAGGCTCATGAGGAGGGTCGGCCCTGTCCCAACCAGCTCACCCAGACCAAGCCATGTCCCATAAGGCCTTGCTACACGTGGCTGCTGAGTGACGGGTCCCCATGCACTGTAGAGGTATGATTTTCACTGTGAATACTAGATGTGAGGTTACAATTTTCTACTTCCATGTGATTTAATGACAAAGGGTGCCCACTTGCTCCATAAAGCAAAACTCTTGGTTTCTGATTTTCTTTACCATCATGCATCATAATTTTCAAGCATGTGCAGTTTTGAATGACTTCACACTGCCCAATTTCTTAAAGGTACCCTGTGGACTCTTTGACCACTAGTAGTGCTATGGAGCAGTGCTTTTATGAGCGGGTCCCGATTTTGTATGCACACGTGCTTGCACACACACAAGGATGTGGGTGACATGACAGGTGGATGCCAGTGTTGTCACACTGTTTCACTTACCTACAGGTGGTGGAAACACACAAAAATGCAAGGAAAAGAAGATGGGTAGCAAGTGATCTTGGATGAACAGTGCAAATTTCCGAATAGTTAAATCAGCAGCTGTTTTCTAAATAATTAAATGCATTCAACATGTTCATAAGACCACAAAAATACACAGAGCACCTTTAAACTTTATATGTAAATTAATTTGTGTTAAAACCCACAGAAATGTATGTTTTAGTGGACATCACATGGATTCAAGATTCAACTATATCTGATATTTTTACAAAGATTAAAAAAAAAGCATTAAGTTATTAGATATTCCATGGAGTCCAGTGTGAACTATTTATTAGTCTATTCTAATGCCACTAGGGAGCAACACCCAACTACTATTAGTTGGTTTCATCTCATTCTTTCAACATGTTCATTATATAAGTAATATATAAGTAATAAATATAAGTATATAAATAATAAATATATATAAGTAAAGAAAATGATTTTGTGAGGACTTCCTAACGACCTGTTGGTAAACCTTACAAAGGTCATACTTGTGTGCACGTTCATGCAGGGTGCAGCATGTGGTGAGGGGCTTCGGAGACGGAACCTGTCTTGTGTCGTTCACTGGGGCGATGAGTCTCGTCCTCAGCCAGTGGAGGAGGAGCTTTGTGGAGATAAACTGAGACGTCTCATCCAACAGGAGATGGAGCAGCCCTGCTTCGTCCCCTGCCCAGGTAAAAGTTGCACTCAAAAATATTGAATTAACATCTTTTTTTTTTAAATGTGTTGACGTATAGAAAGCGTTGTGAATATAATTGCATGAAATATATTATATTATAATTGTGTAATCTGCTCAAATAGAGCAAAACTACATGAGTGCATGAATTATTTATCAGTGTAGTAATTTTGAATTCATAATAACAGTAATGTTTTAGTCTGGGTTACTTCATAATCAATAATGTTGTTTCTAAACACAAACTAATTTGCTGGAATCTGCCAATACACTGTGTCCTCTTTCAATCAGTTGACATTTTCAGCTGCTAAATAATGATTGCAAAATCAATAAGTCATAGACTAACTAATGACCCTTTTAGCCTTACATTATCTGGATGGGCACATCCAGTAACAACTATAAAAAAAAAGACCGCTTGGAAATCTTTGTTTTATTTTTTTATTTTTTCAGAGATAATAGGAGTGAAATCTCATCCTGTGCTAACTGGAACAATTAACCAATCATACTGCTGAGAGAAATTACACTACACTGCCTATCACTACTGCGCAATTAACAGCTCTAAAAATTCTGAACGGGGAGAGCTTTTGTGTAAGTGCAAAAGCAACAATTTTCCAACAGCAAAAATGCAAATCAGAATAAAACTAGTTTTAAGTAAGAACAGCTTTGACTACACATATTGTTTATGTATTGCTATTGTAAAGGCAGTATATCATAAGAACATATGAGATAACCAAATTCAGAATGGTGATTTTTACAAGGTTGAAGCAACACATCATTATGCAGCACCAAGTGCAGACACAGCGGTAAAAGCAGCAATGATACCCAGAGGTACAAGACTGACATGTTGGGGGTACTTGGAAATAACGAGCTGCATGTGTTTTCTCTTTACAAGCCAAATCAGCTACTTATGTCATGAACCTCATCCCAGTGTAACACAACTTCATTCGAGAGCTGTAAAATGACAGTCCACCACTAAGAACCACCAGCCTCCAGAAAACCCTGTTGACTTTGAGTACCTGGATAGAAATCTAAAAGGAAAGACCATCATCTAAAAAATAAAGCGCCTCCTGCGCTATCAAATAAGTATTTTCTAAGTGGCTTATTTAACAAGCAAATAACAACTAACCTAAACTGAAATTGTGGCATTGTATTTCTGTGTTATAAAAAGCTGCAGTGGATGTGTTATAGTGTATAATGTATAATATTCCTATGGTATATTACCTATTGGTACGTAAAACATTTTTGTGTAGTAACATGAGATAAGATAAGATAAGATAAGTTAAGATAAGATGTTCCTCATCGTATGTTACTACCCAGAAATGTTATGTTATACGAGCTGTTGTAGCTACTAAACGGGGAGTAGGTTTGTCTTTCACAGGTGCATCACTACATTTCAATATTAGACAAATTATATTACTAAACTGCATCATTTGAGATCACGTGTTAGTCAATAATTGCTAAGGCCAGGGCTCTGCATGCTTTAATAACAGCTGAGCTGACATACTGTAAAGTCCACTCCTAATGAGATGCATCAGGAGGTCTAGATCAACTTGTTTCCCTTGCAATTTTAATAGTGTTACTGCATTCACTGTTGGAAGTCTGCACTACACATCAAACCATATGCATGCTGTTTTCTGTGATGGATAATGATAAAAGTGCACCAGTGCTTGCAGAGTGCTGCCAGTACTGTAGCTGTAAAAAAATACTTGGTGTATCTTGGCACTGCCTGTTAACAGTGGAGAGAACTTGACAGTGAAAAAACAAAAAAATATTATTCACTGTAACTTTATGCTTCTGTTGTTTTAGTCTCCTCTTCCAATAAAGTAGACAGTGTTAACAAATTCAGGCTTGATGGAGCTCTTCCCATTTATTTAAATTGAGATTGTATAGACAAAAAGAAAATCTCACCTTTTAGATATTTAGACATTTTGGGAAATACTGTCACACAGTGCTTTTAATATTTTATGATATAATTGCCATTGTTTTTAATTATATCTGTGCACAGTGAAATGGTTGATCTTATCATTATAAAAATTACCACAGCAACAAGAAACCCACAGATCATAGCTGACTGACATCCCATGATGCCGACTTTTTTTTATTCACATTTATGCCATAGTGTGAATGTAGCATTTGCCGTTGGTAAGGGAGCTTCTGGGTATCTGACAGCTACAGTATGACCTGATTCACTTGTCACTGTCAGGCTTTCCACACTGAAAATCTATAATGAAGCTTTACTGTCCTTAGGCTTTCTGATGTGCAAGCCAGCTCCACAAGTAGAAAAGAATTGATGTGATTTTTTTGTCATTTCTAAACGAAAAACACAATCATTATCATCTCATAAAAAGACATCTCTGATCTCCTTTGGCATGGTTCTTGCGAAACGAGGCTCTTGTTAGCTTTTGCTATGAAGAGACACCATCTTGCAATGCTTGCTTTTGCTCATCTGTCTCTAGCTCTCCTCTGATCCTTGCCTTGATTCATCACTCAACTCGCCTTTGCTGTGAGCCTTGGCTCAGGATCAGAAGTGTTTGATGGCTGGAGCAGATGTGTGTGCGTTTGTGTTCGTGTGTGTTGGTGTGAAGGGGGCGGGCGCAGTATAGGGGCCAGGGGAGGGATTGTCGACATGTATGTGATGTACACTATGTGTGTATGGGTGTTGCTGTTTGCTGTACACTGCAGCTTTTGCCACAGCATGTTTCTACAGCCATAGCAGCATGGGGGAAGAGCTGATTGAGTGGATCCGTATAAAGATGAAAGATAATGAGATGCGTCAATCCACAGACAGTCCCTAATGGTCGTTCAGGGCAGAGAATCAGAGTGTTGTTCTGGCTGAGGAGCTGTGGAAGTGGGTGATATTATCACTACAATATGACCCTATCAAGGATTACAGGATATTAATGCTTGACCTTCAAGGAAGCAAGTGTTGACGTGTTATTTATAGACTCGGAGAATACATCAACCAGCCTTTATCCACTGAAAACATTTCCCAAACCAAATGAGTTTTGCTTTTCCTAAGAGACCTGTTTCAGTATTGGGTGTTGCCTTTACAGTTGGGCTCAGAGTTATAGCTTATATTGTATAATTTATAACTCTGGTTGGTCTATTACTTCTGAATACCCACTGGGCTGTCTGAGTAATTTGTTTGTGCATTTGGTACATTATCAGCCACAGATGTGTGCTGAAGTTGTTTTTGATGTCTTTTAAATGTTCCAGGAGCTAGCAGGGGAGCCAATAAAATGATCCCTGAAATAGTGTTGGAAAACTGAATATAAAACCACCCTCAAATATTTGTAAAAAAGTGTTAGACAGTGTTATTGTCCAAGTGGTGCCTATCAGTGATGGTTTTTCTCTCTCTTTCTGCCCTCAGGAGACTGCCATTTGACTGTGTGGTCATCTTGGAGCTCTTGCCAGCTGACCTGCCTGGAGGGGCGAAGCTTTGAGACCACAGGGCGCCAAGCTCGCTCGAGAGCTGTGATCATTCAGGTCATGGAGAACCAGGGCAGCTGCCCACATCAAGTTTTTGAGACCCAGCCCTGTAAAGGTACTGAAGAAACCACAAATGTCAGAAAACCTTATTTTATTGACAGTAGCTGTCTTTACATCAGTGTATTTTTATGTACATCTTGAAGTATAGCATTTGAAAAGGTTCACATGAGTATTTGTATGTGAGAAGAGTTGATTGTGACAAACCTGCAGTGAATTAATACCCAGCTCTGCTGTTCTCCTTTGGTTTTCTTGAAGCTGTTTTCAGTGAAAAGGCTCTGATAAACCCACTGTACGCTGCGTGCTCAGCACCAAAGTTTCAAAGCATTAAAGTTTGCCACTAGCTGCTGAACTTAATGGAGCATTTAGCAGCTAAAGAGCAATATATTTTTCTCAGGAAGTAGTAGTATCAAGTCAAGAAGAACACACCCTGTGTGCTTCTACATCACTGCAGCCAGGTGAGAACTTCAACTGGGGGACTTTGTTAATATAAATTAGGGGCAGATGCTAAATTACCTTAATTCAGAACAACTTAATTCCTCCTTCCTTCCTGCTGTTACAACGCATCTGTTGGGATTTTGAAAATTGCATCTTAAAGAACGAAAGCCTCTGATCCTCAAGATGGATCAATGAAGTAGACGTCTTTTAATAAACTTCAGATCTACTCACGAGGGGCACACCAACATTTTAGTTTCATCCTGCTGACCTTGAAACCACACTCCATGTAAGTTAAATCTGTCCGTACGGAGGTAAAAGGCTAAAAGGTGATATTACAAGTGCTTTCTAAATGGCCAGCCATGCTGTAAATGGCAGTTTTGTAATTGCAATGGCAAAGCTATCATTGAAACTGTGTCGCAGGAGGGTTAGCGCTTAAAAATTACAAAATGATGAAAAGGCTATCAAGGGCCAGTATTTGTAGAAAGGTCAAACCACTTCTCCAGTTTTGATAAAAGATGGAGATTGATGCATCTGGTTGCTGACTAACCCAAAGGAGATGTGTGTATTTCACAGTGGAATACTTATTGAATAACTGTTTTTGAATCTCTACTGCAGTAGTAATGTTTAACAGCTGTTTCATTACATAATCTTAAACTTGTTTTATTTTTTTATTTCTGCACCTACAGTACATACCTTCATACATACTGTTGCAAGTATTTGGGCTCTTTCCAGTTCTCCTTTCCCTCATTAATTAGCTGCTTACAGTTGCATTTAAAATGGTAATTGTCCGGCATTTCATTCATTTTAATACTGCACACCTGTGTAGATAAATGTGTAACTTTAATCTAGATACTGTATTTTAAAGTCCTTTCCTGTGGGTGTTTCTTCCATTTGTGATCTTTCCATTAAATTCAACACTACATGTGTGGCTAGATTTTCTTTAATACATAAAATCAGGCTCAAGTGTCTCTGACGGTTCCTCTCTTTAAATCAATCTTTCCCTATAGCTACCCCTAGGAAAATAAGAGCCTCCTCTTAGAAAATAATAGGTGTCTTTCATACATTTCCAACCAATTTCTACCATCTCATTTCCTCCAAAGATACCTTTATCTCGTAGCACTGCTTCAGAGGAAGAGCTTTTCCTTTCACTACAAACATAATATGACTTACCTTGTAATATGAAGTAGCAGGGCAGCAGAAAAAGTGGTGGTTAGTGTCTATGGGGGACTGATGACAGGGCTGGCTGCCCCAAACAAACTGCTAATGAGCAACGTTTCTGCCATTGCTGCAGGAGGAAAATGCCACAGTTACCAGTGGAGGACAGGAGGATGGAGCAACAATGAGAGAGCAGTGTGGTGTCAGCGCTCAGATGGTGTCAATGTCACAGGTGAGTAGTTGCTGTGTCTTCTGGCCACCCTAGAGGGTTTGTACAGAAGCACTCATGGGAACACACACAGACACACATTCTTATATAAATATGAATATCTATGTATATCTGGCTTAATGCAGAGAGCAGCTGAAAGTGTCCCAGTTCTGGTTTTGTTCCCCCGCAATGAATTGAATCAGCATGAGCAGCAAAAAGCTGCATGGAGTCACATTTTTCAATTCGGTCTAGATCACATGGATATGTTCTACAATATCAGATTATTTGATAGCTCAAAAAGGATTTTGTAAGTGTTGCCATGACAGTAAGTATTTTCTTTCATTCATCTGAGAAAGCTGCCACACTGGTAATTTTGGCAGAGGTGGTTGTAGCAGGTGGTTCAGAAATACATTTTGAATGGATTTCCTTGTTGGCTCAGGAGATAATTGAATGGAAACAAGTGAGAAGGGTGGATACAAAAAACAGATGTGATGTCTTCTGCAATTGTTAATCTCAGTTTACAATATTAGTATCCTTTATATGGGTTATATCCTACAATTTATATGATCTGTTACTTTACCCCCTGCAAAAAATTCAGCTGGCATCATGTCAAAAATGTACATGACAGCCTGCAGTGGGAACAGTCTGTTACACATACATGCAGGTGCACTCAACCACACACACACACATAAAGAATAATTTTAGTATAGTGTTCTCGTTGAATTTAACACCTTATTTGATCTGCCCATTCTCAGTGCAGCCTCTATTGATTTCTCCTCTCCCTCTTAACATAAGTAATCAATAAGCCAGACTCTGAGCTGGGAGGCTTTCAATCCATATAAATATAATCATGCATTTGTATTTGTGGGAAGTAAAGCAGGCGTAGAGAAACAGAACAAAGGTAATAGTGCTGTGGGAACAAAAGCTTTGGGCGAGTTTGATGTGCTGTAAATAGTGGGTGAATGTGATCTTATCGCTGTAAGGAAGTGTTTCTGGCAAATATGAGCCCAGAAGGAATAAGCTTCCTCTGCAGAGAAGGCAAGAACCCAAGGCATTACTCTTTGATATTTTGACATGCAATTTTCCATGTTGGAATTAAAATGTTCACAGATTGATCAGGGACCCTGATAGGCAACTGAGCCCATTAATCAGGTGTGACAGTACATTAATTTAGTGATCAATGGGTAAAGGAACAGAAATAAGAACCTGTTGTTTTTCTCCAGGGGGCTGTTTCCCGCAGAAAAGGCCGACCACGGTCAGACACTGCCATCCTCCGTGCACTAAACCCTTCTCACACTGCACACCGGTAAGATCTTTGTACTTTGATCAGGCAGCTGTGATCTCTGTGATTCTCACTGTGTGTTTCCTGCTGCTGTCATATTCAAGGTCAGGAGTTAAAATGGAATTTGACAGATGACATTTTTAATTGCAATTAAAGGATCACATTAATACCAATAAATGTGGGTTCAGTGTCAGTTAGGGACTACACTTAGCTGGAGGGAAACTGCACACAAGCATTCATGAAAATGACTAATAATAGCCAAAGCTTGAAGTTTTACTGCCCCTCTGAGTACCCTCCCTGTAACTGCACTTGAAAATGCAAAAACAATGACTGAAGCTTTTATGAAGCAACAGCTTAATCTTTTTAGTAGACACAACCGTTTTCAGTCAGTCTTACCCTGACTGAGAGTTTTAACATTATACTTGACTTCATTCCACTTGACTTCTTGCAAATAAAAGACTGTTCTCATCCTTTATTTTCTCCGTTTGCCTCTGGAAGGTGCTATGGTACCCTTGGCAACCCAATATATTTTAAAAAGGTCTTTTATTCCAAGTGCAATCGGCATTTAAACTCAAAAACTGGGTAACAAATCTTGCTCCACAGTATTTTGTGTTATATTTTAATGTTTTATGCTTTGTTTTAGGTGTCTTATGATCCCTGAGGAGCACAGTTTAATGTCAGGGTTGGGATAAATCAACCTGCGCTGATAGCAGAAAGCCTTTTGAAAGAGTAAAGTAAACCAAAATAGTCCCTGTACACGCAAGACGGGTTCTTTCAGCAGTGTTTCGTATCAATGGGAAAGTAATGATCGTAGTTGTCTTGTGTTGGCTGTAAATTATGTTCTTCTGGTTTCGCCCTCCCCCCATGCAGAGTGGAGTGTGTGGGTGTGAGAAGGGTTACACTGAAGTGATGACAACGCATGGCTTCTTGGACTACTGCACCAGAACCCCAGGGGTGGACAACAACAAGAAAGCTGATGTGAAAACCAACTCTGGAAGATTAAAACCCGGGCCGTCTCAGGCTCAGGACCTCTTCAACGAGTGGACCTTACGACCTGTTGGCCCAGGTACTGAAATGGAAATCATCTTTACAGCTCGAGCAGCAGGCCTGAGATCATTCCTGCCTTTGAACCAGCCTTTGTAGCTCTAGGATGACTGAGCCGGGAGTGGAATCCATTCTAGGTCAATGTTTTTAGTTGGGCTCATCATTATATGCTGTGAAAAAAAAAACCTTCAATGGCTCATAAAAATGTCAAGAAATTTTAGTTTCTCCTATGTGTGAAAAGAGAATAAACCTACTTCTTTATTCTGAAACATGATAAAAAAAAAAGTTATAAAGATCTCCAGGCAAAAGACGTAGACATATGTATATTTAAAACTTTGTGTTAAAACTGCTTTTTGATTGCACAGATGGAAGAGTAAAGCTGTGGGTTTATGCCGTGACTGCTGTTGGATTCATCTTAATACTCTTCATTATTGCATTATCATTCCTGGTCTGGTATGTACCATATTACTTTCTTAAGAGATTCCTCATTGTGCACAATGCAATTTCAAGAACAAAAGCTCCATTGTAGGTCTCACACACACACTGTAAATGAGAACATACAGAACCAAAGAAAATTCCTAACCATCTGCTTTTCCCGAAAAGAACCATGTCAAGTATGAGTTATATTCTTCACAATATTTTGTCTGCTGTGCGCTGCTGCTATCAGATAATGGAATTCTTTGTAAAGACTGAAATCAAGTCGGGCTGCCCTTTGCTGCTTAGTCATATACTGTCACTTTTATTTCTTGTCTATTTTCTTTTTTCAGTAAGCCATCCAAAACCACTAAGACGTCTCCGCCTCCGCAGAAGCCCTTGACCCTGGCCTACGATGGTGATATGGATATGTAACCAGGCTGCTATACCTCACAAGGGCGCGCTCCACCTTGGACAGACTCCTGACTGCGTTCAGATTGTTAGCAAGCACGTCCATCACATACCACTGATTGTCGGCCAGTTTGAGCTGGGTGACTGTTTGCTGTAGTGCCAATTGTACTGTAAAACTGCAGCAGACAAATAAAAATGCTCGCACATGATTTGCTGCTGAAGGGCAACGGAGCCCAGAATTTTGGCTGCAGCCAACTCTTCTCCCAGAAGAAGAGGAACCAAAGCATTGCGAACATTGTGAAAATGAGATAAAAGGTCTGTGGACAGGAAATAAATGGTCCTCTGGTTTCTTTTTTTTTTTTTTTTAACTGCTAGCAATGTGAACACATAGTTGAAGCACTGTTTTCAACCCAACAAGTGGATCCACAGGCGTTGATTTTTTTTGCGTGTCAAGAATCAGAGGGACCACCAGGTTATTCGTCGTGAGGGAGACAAAACATCTTGAGTCAGCAGTCACTCATGACATTCAAAGGCGGAACAAGAGAACATTTGACATTTGACTTTGTCTCATCAGTGCTGGATCTTTGTAAAAGAAAATGTCACAAGCCTTTTGGGTAAACAAACAGCCTTTTTTTGAATTTCTGAGAATAAACAAGATGCTCTATGCACTACGTTAGTGCTGATTCACTTTTGTTTTTTTTCCTTTCAAATGACTTTTCTAGTGTTTTCATTGTAATGCAAGTTGTTGCTGTCAGATTGTGTTTTGTTGATGTATATGTGGAAACCAAAAGCAGGCTTGCCTTGAATTTAACAATACAATGATGCAGTAATATCTTTTCCCTGATTCTCATAAGACTCTCAGCCACTGAGGACTAAATTAAGAAACAACCTCAAAATCCTTGAAAAAACATGGCGGACTGCCTTGGTGACAAATGCAGTGAAGAATTAACAGAAAACAATAGACCTTTAATGCAAATTATCAAATACCAGCATGGTAAAGATCATACCTCATACACACTTTTTCATCAAATGCAAAACAAAAAAGCACTGATCACCAAAACAGACACACAAATAGACATGAATTGTCCACTGGAACAAATATGCTTTGCTTCTTTCACAAGGATGTCACACTTCATTTTCTTTACACCATTTTTTTCATTACATCCAAATACAAGGTCAGCTAACACAAAGCAATGGCAGAAAATAGTTTTTGACAGTATTGTATTCTGAAATTGTTTTCATTTTTGCACCAAGAAGACAGGGCTCAAAACATAGCAAATACCAAATATTTGTGAGCACACAAGTGAGCCTCTTATTTTTGTTTTTGCAACTAATGCACAAAAGTTAAGATCGTTCATCCTTCTCTGGAATTCTTTCAGATTGACATTTACAGCACAAGGCATCCACAATGTTTAGTGCCAGAGCATCATCCCAAAGCATCTTAGTGGACCATAAACACTTACATTTAATATAATTCAGACATGTATCCTTCAGTGCATTATTCATACAACCCAGTGGAGAATGAAGTTTCTTATACTTGGTGGTTTTGGCACTGACCAGAGCGGAGTTTACGCTGTTTCTTTTTCTGCCTCCACAAACTGAAGATTTGGTTTTGTGTAATCTGACCACATTCTGAATGTATTTTACCAGTAACTCTATAATCTTAATGGTTGTGCAAATAGGGTTGTTACATGTTGTAACAATTGTATTTCAACAGCTGATTGTATGTAGGCATGCGTGATCCATTTTGTCAGAAAGTGCTCCGAGTGGCCTTGCAAAGATTCTGTTTTACAAGTTGCCAAACATTTTAGAGTAGTTTCTTTTAGGCAGTGTTTTTTAATATTTGGCCAACAAAGGGACATATGGTAAATGTTAAGTCAATGTAAAATCCAATTGTGAAATACTGATAATTTCTGATTAACATGATTATAATTAACTAATGATTTGGGCATATTTCCATTATAAAAACAAAGAAAAGCCAACTTCTGACCTGATAAGATAATTCTATTGGGTTATATCCAAGAAAATCTAAAAGTATATTCACTCATTGTTTACAGTACCATGCTATTTGTGTTACTATTGTGTGTACATGGAGAGCTGGACAAAAATGCAAATAAATTGTGGAACCATGTGAAAATAAAACACTGCATTCTTTCCTCTTTGTTGCACATTCCAAGAGTTGTGAGAGAAATCTTTTCAAGAGAGATGCTCTACTCCTGCTGTGATCTTCATCGGCTCCTTGACTCTCAAGCCCTGATAAATTGTAATTACTTATACAGGCTCTGAGGCAGAGCCCAGAATATATAAGCAGCTGATAAGATTCATTTTGCCCTCCAGTCAGATACCCAGTCTGATAATCCCAAGATGCACGCAGGTTGTGGGGGAAATAGTGTTTAAATCTTTTGTCTCATCTAATTCATTTATTTAAGACTGTCACTTTTGTTTAAGAGAAGGGTGAATCCAAATGCTTGTGTCATGGCCATCTGATCGGTGGCAAAGATGTGTGCTGATCTTGTCATGTCCAATTCATCTCATTTTAGCAGCTCTCAAGACATATTTGCAGGTATCTGTGAAGATATGTGAGCAGTTTGACAATGGCAGTGGATCAGGCTGGATCACTCTAATACAATGCAGCATGCTGTACTTTGGTAGAGCAGAGTGACAGCTTAATGAATATTTAGTCAGAACAATGCATAACCTTTTGAAGTAATGAATGTTTATTATAATTTATGAGTTTTTTATGTGCTTGTCTACACCCCAACAGAGTGATGGAATTCTTCCAGTATTCATCATTCTGTTTTTATTTGTTTGTTTGTTTTCTTGTCTTCCAAAAATGAATCTGTGTTTAAGACTGTATTCCTGGAATTTGGTCTTTATTGAACATTGAATGTTGATGGTAGAGAACAACAGGAAGACACAATAGGAAGCCATGCAACAGAAGTCTCTAGCTGGAATTGAACCAGGAATCAGAGTTGCATGTTTGATATGACTGTGCATTAAAGATCGCTGGACCAACAGACCTATATATACTGAATACAACATATCCTTTATGATACTGATATTAATGCCTTATGGCCAAAGAGGTTAAAATGCCTGCCGTCAGTCTTAATCAATAGAACCGATGAAACCTCTTAGATAAATAATGAAATGTCTGCAATATTAAACAGCAAGAGCAGTTGCTAGTACTTAATGAATTCTCATGAAACTTTGCTTCGACATTTATAGTACAGAAGATGAATCCTACCGACTTTGTTGATCCCCTGACTTTACGAGTGCAACAATGAGGTAGACATGTTTGCTCTTTAGCGACATGCCTCCACAACGAGCGGGTGGATTACCATGAAATTTGTTTAATTAGTCTCCAGAGGGCAAATCCTAATGACTTTGGTCATCCTCTGGTTTCTCCTTAAATGTGAGGTTGACATTTGTGGTCCTGTGTGACCCCCTCAGGTTGAAGTGTAATCATTTTCCTGCTCCCTTCAATCTTTCATCTAGAGCAATCATCAGGTCAAAAATCCAATTGTCCAATACTTTTTAGTTGGCTATGACTGCAGTCTCTTGTTAAATATGACGTTTGTGTATGCTTTTACGGAGGTGCAGGTTTGCAAGGTGAACTGTGCAGAACACAAAACATGCTGTTGGCATGGAGGTATGCTGAAAAAAAAAAAATTAAACAAAGAAAAACATTAAGGCACTTTGTAAAGAGAGCCTGCCTTTCCAGTTCAAACAGGCCTATCAGGACAGGAATCCAAAATAGAGAGTTGAATTATACATTGTTTTACCAAAAAGGCCTCAATTCATTATTCAATATGTTAACAGAAATACAGCACATTCCAAATAAACAAATCATTTGCACATCATTTATTTTAATTAGGTGTCATGTCATCCCATATCCAATCAGATCTGAGAACCTACTCATACATCACATAGAAGGATTGCTATAGAGGTTACTTCCTCTTTAAGCGCCAACACAAGATGGCTTCCACTGAGAACTCAGACACTCAGACAGGTTACGGGTTTGTTAGCATGTCCTTTTGTTTAAAAAAAAATAAACTTAAATGAAATTCTTACTGACTATCATTTAACTAAAGAAAACAAAGAAACTGTATGAGAGAATGTCAACCTTTCTTACCAAAAGGGCATAGCAAATAGTGAGGGAGTCGCTACTTTCCCACAGTGTACAGCATTATGTAATCATTCAAGCAAAAAAAGTAACACTGTCCTATATGCACAACAGTGTGTGTGTGTGTGTGTGTGTGTGTGTAAGAGAGAAATAGACCAAGAGACAGTTGTTTACTTTGATATCCTAATGAGTGTCTTCATTTGACTGGGCTTCTGCTTCATCAGTTCTAAGAGAGAGTTCATTTCAAAGACATGAAGCTTGGAAGGAAAATACTTTTCCGCCCACATTGTCTTCTTAGTTTTAGGTAGAATTGTCTTGATTATACGAAGACCAGCCCCCTGCAATCTGAGAGCACAGAGGTGGCACACGGAGAACAATGAGGTCGGATAGATAAGATGGTGCAAGCTCATGTAATTAATAATGGGACTTTGCAGTTTAGTCTGGCTTGGGGCTGGGGATTTTGATGTAATATAGTTAGCTTTAGTTCATGTTCTGGCAGCAATATCAAGGTAGAGAAATTATGATGTATTGATTTTTGTTTACTTCTGTCAGTTTTGAGGCAAAAGACATCAAGTAAAAAATAGAAGAACAAATGAAACTACAAATGTTCAATGAAAAGCTGTTTTAATGGTCATATGGGAATTCTTAATGCACAAAGGAAAAAGAAAATCTGTCCTTAATGTCTGCTTGAATAGAAAAAAAGGGCCCAGTCTCCTAAAACAAGGTCAGTGTGAGTTGAGACCGGAGGATCCCAGTGAATGTCCTGAGTTTTCACTGAGGTACTAAAATATAAATATTCACCACAGGGGTACACGTCTGAAAATGTATGTTATTATAGACTTTCATCTAAACAGCTACCTTATGGACCACTGGCTACTGAATCATATCTGACTAAAAACTCCTTTTGGGTTCGACTCCATGGATTAAAATCTTATCAGATGGGGTCTGTGGCCTAATTACAATCTAATTTGAGTTCTTGGCCTAATTCCTGTCTGTCTGACATAAGAACTGGGAAATCTGGGAGGCATCAGCATTTCCGTATTTCTCTTCATATAGTCTTATAGTCTTGTGTTTTTTTCTACACTGACCATCAACTGTTATATAGCCTAGTATAAACTATCTTCTTAAATCTTATAGTAGTCTTTTAGAGTATATTGCAATATCCTTTATCAAAGCATGCTAAGGTTTCTTATAGCTCAGCTTGTTGAGACTTTAATTAAATCACAATAAATATTGTCTGCTTTTATTAAATAACATTTTCTTTGTGTAATTCAGAAGTGCAGCGTTGCACTGTGTTGTTATGCAACAAAAGTGGAAGTGAAACTGACGATGGATGATGGATTGCTCAAGTATTTGGAAGCCGATTTTGATACAGTAGCATAATAAAATAAATGGAAACTAATGGCAACAATATGAGTACAAATATACATTATTTCAAAATAAAGGCTATTTTTTAATCACCTGCAGTTGCAGCCTTTGATATTTCCTATGATATTAAGGCTCATCTAATCCAACCTAACCACCAAGCCTGAAAAAATAGGCATTTACTCCCAATGTATTTACACACAGACATTACAGCAGAGACTTTCTAGTCAAACTTTTCAGTTAAACTTGTGAACATGCAGTGCGCCTGTAACCTACCGTAAAAATCACTCACAGACCTTTAAAGATAAGTGTTTGTCCCTGGGTTGACATTTCTTGAGGGATTTTCTCTGCCACCTTTGGCCCTCCTTAAAACGGAGCTGCGGGACTCAGTGGGAGGGTTTTATTCCAGCCTGCAGACTCATTCCCGGCAGACACATTCACCCACGCCTGCACCTACATGTAAGTGGAACAAACGTCGCGTTTTCTCACAATCTGTCTGCAGTTTCAACACCACATGCTCGGAGAATATAATGTTAAACGGGTGCTGCGATATTGATTGAGAGAGTGACAACTTGTTTGCACTCCGATCAGTTAAAAATGTCGACGCGACAGGCTCTCAATCTCTCTGTGTGTGCGTCTGTGTGTGTCTGATTCCGCTGCTCTAGGAAAAATTGCTCTGAAAGCACGGGCAGCTCTGTAATGGTTGTAGAGACATGACATGCAGGTTGCTGGACACACATTCTCCTATAGGCGGGGATAATAGCGTTCCGTAGAGAGAAGTGCGCGTCACGTTGGGAGTCGGGCTTGACGGATGTTCGACCTTCAGTTTTGCAAGTTTAAAGGAAATATGCGTGATATTTGCAATGGCTGACTTCTGTTTTTAGACTGATCTAAGATAACTTGTTTTTTTTTTTTTGTGAATTAAGTGTGTAATGCAATGTACAATATGAAAACAACACATTGTGAAACTAATACATTGACATGAGTCTTAATACCTCCCACACTGTTTGACTGATATATGATGGGTATAAGTGGTCAGCAACAGCATTCAGCAACAACTGTTAAAACATAAAATAGAAACTGAAAAGAAACACACACACACACACATACCCTATACTATATAGTTTTTGGAAATTACCTTTCTGGCTTTAGCTGTTGAAATGTTTGCTGTTTTGTTGCCAGATAACTTTGCCATGGCATCTCCACTGAAGAGTCTGGTTCATGATGATAGCAGGTACCAGAAATCCTTCAAACTTTTTCTGGAGCGCTCCTCTGAGCATCAGTGTATGCGGGACTTCATCCACAATCTACTGCCAGATATACTGGCCAGGTAATCTTCCACACACACAGACACAATAGAAGATACTACATCAGAGTACAGTTGAATAGTTAATAGCTTTCAGTGGTGTAGTGGTGCCTGAAGAAGTGGGTATACTTTTAATTTATGCCCAAATATTTGTTTTATTTTTAAAGCAGCCATCCAGCAAACGCCCTGTGTTATTAACTGTGACATACAAGACTATTTAGTTCACCCAAAAATGGGCCAGTAGTGTTTGCACATTGTCACTTAACTTCTGCTGCTCGGCTTGGCAGTAGATCATTATGAAATAAACATCAGCCACAGACGGGGTGCAAATTTTGCAATCAATACTGGCCCACAGACGGCCATTACATATATTATTATGTAATTTAAGTGAATTATTCCTTACTCTATCCACTCGTGAAAATTGGACAACTATGTCATGCCCACACTATTGTAGAAAAAAAAAACCAGCTTCACCTGAAGCTTACAGAGTGCTGACTAAAATATAAGAAGGTGCGTATAGCATTACACCACTGGCTTTTAAAGTGGTACAGTAGACTGTGCAGTAGTGTTATAGTGGAGTCTCTCAACATTTCTAAACAGAAGTTTAATAAACTGATTGGCCAATACAGTCAGTATAGAAGAAATTCAGTTAAGGGGCTAAGTAAAATGAAGGAAGAGGACAATAAAGTCCAATCAATATAACTGCTGATATTAGTTTTCAAGATATTGCAAAAAAGAAATGTGTATGATTGTGTTTATTAGTATGAGTATGTATATGCTTGATTATTTAGAAACAGTGTCTCTCCCAAATAGTTTTTCCACAAGAAGGCAATCACAAGTTTATTGTTCATCTTTCAACAAGTAAAAAAAAAAAGAAGAAAATATTATCATTATATGTGATTATCAAAGATTAGAACTCAATCATTCTCACACTCAAACTCAAACTCAAAAATCCTGTAATGGTCAAACTACAGTGAACATGTAACTGGTGTTAATATATGACATGATTGTTGATTAACTGCATTGCTGTGAGGGAAGAGATAATCTTAACCTGTAAATGGGGGAAAGGGGAAGCACAGAACAACTCTCAAACACTACTGAAGTAATCCAAGCGAATGGGGTAGGTAGAGCAGGTCAGGTGACGAAACCGGCAGGAACGGGGTTTTAAGGAAGGGCAGGAAGGTGTGGCTGGGTCTGCAGTGACAGGAGAGTGATCAGACAGACTGAATGAATGAATGACAGAGAGAGAGAGGCCTGTACTATGGAGCAGGATTAGGTTTAACTTCGGCTTTTCAGTGTAAACAATGGTGGTTCCGTTATGCTGCACACTTAACCGTTTTGTTTGAGCGTATAAAAGCTACTGACCAGTCAATTCTCTTTATGATTTTTATATAATAGATATGGATGATCATCTGTGGAACTGACTTATCTGTGTCAGCTTCTTGTTGCCAGTGCGACTTCTCGGGGTCAAGTTTACAGCCCTGCAGACTTTTACTTGTGCTGTTAAGGGGTGACCCTGATTATAGCAGGGGGCCTGATCCTCAGCAGGAGTGTACTCCAGTGTAGGAGAGCCTCCTCCTGTCTTTTCCATTTCATTTTTCCCCCTCTTGGCTACAAGCAATGTCAAAGCCATTTTATTGTGCTTTTGTATACCGATATTATCCTTCAAGAGAGACTGATTGAAGCACGAAAGCCTTGTACTTGTAACCGCTTTGAAATGTTAGTTATTTTTTATTTGCTCCCAAGTTTGTTTCACACTGCCTATGTTGCAGCTGAATGAATAAGGGTAAAATTGTCATACACACCATAAGATTACATCTTAGCAACACATTAATTTGGTGGAATACATTAATGGAATTATAAAAAGTCAGATTTACTCCTGCCCTCATGGTGGAGCAGTGATATTATAAGGTAATTTACGCATTCACCCAGTCGGCGTTGTTTTTTCCAGCTGTCCTTCCTGCATCTGGAAGCTGCAGCTGTGTAGCTTTTTAGCCTGGATTTTTCTATAGTTTTGTCAAAGTCTGCTGTTTATTTGTAAAATATGACGCTCTGCTGCAACTTGTCCATGTCTGCGATTGGTCATATGCTGTAAACACTGCCCACTTTTATGTGAACACGCTTATAGATAGAGTTGAAAATGTAGGTTGACATACTGAGGTGATAAAGACCATCGTGTAACCATTTAGTGTGATTGTGGTTTTTGAGCCAAAAGATTAAAAAAAACATATCCTGGGTATGTAGAACTTGCTTCGTAGTACCAGCCGTACGTAGTTCGTAGTACGTAGTTCGTGACACTGTGAAACCTGTACGTGTATTGTTATAAGAATGTCATCCATGGGTTGAAAGTGAGTTTGGGCTGGTTAGCTGGTAAGCATTTATCTGTCAAAAAACATAAGAAGTTATTACAGTGCAGTTTTTTTAATCAATATATATGTATTTTATATATGTCACTCTGGTGCCATTTAGCTATGTGATATAAAAGTTCAATTCTTGAGCATGCAAACAGTTACACAATGCAACCTGTGCAAATCACATGTACGTGCATTAAGCCATAATCATTACTTCTGAAAACAGTCAGCTGCATTAGCTGGGTAGGACTAAACTCAATCCCAAAACAGAATATGCAAATAAAATATTATATATGGGTTTATTTTACTGTTATGCTCACAAAATCATATATTTGACTGCACAAATGTGCATAGGTTAACCTGCTAAACAAGGTGTGTGTGTGTGTGTGAATAACAATGAGTGTGAAAATGTGTCTTCTTGCATTTTCTTCTATGTTTATATAAACTCGGGCTGTAAGAGGCCGAAGCCATACTGCAGAGAAATAAACTCAACTCACTGCTCCCTGTGACTGTCTAAGAAGCAGATCAGAGATGAATCTGGAGAGATTTGACTCACAAGTAAATTAAAAAGGGTAATAGTGTTATTCAAAATCAGACGGTGAGTGACAACATGTCATAGAAACAATCAAAGCCTCGGCACTGGAGATGTTTCAGATGCTAGATCAGAACATCTCACATACCCAAGTGTCAGGCAGAATTGACAGTTACAAGCCAAAAATGTGACCCAAATTTGGCAGGTTGGTGGATGTGAATTTCCAGACTTGACTGTTCTGAAGTCTCAAAGCATTTTTTCTGCTCTCCTCTCAGCATTGGAGATGGAAAGTCCCATCTAAATATCATCGGAGTTGGAAGTGGAGCTGGTAAGAACACATACTAAAGGACACTTTCACTGCTGAACTCATCTTATGTGCCGTGTGGCACAGTAAATAGCCTCGACAGACAGCGAAGGTGAGGAGGCGTTGTTGAATCAGCCTGCTATAACAGTTCTTATTGCTGCGCTGTCATTTATGGCTGCAGCAGTAAAAACCCTTGCCCTTATTATAACTGTCAAGGGTTTGCATCTGTCCAGTTGTCAGATTAATCTTAAACTTTAGTTGCAGACAAGGTGACCTTACCAGTCCGTGGTTTTACTGCACCTTGTTTCCAGCGCTCGTGATACAGCAAGGTTAATTTGTTTCTGAGCAAACCGACTACTTGCCCATGAGTGCTATTACCCTTCACTTATGTCAAAGCCAATCCTTTTAATTTACCTGAGCTGTCATGTCAGTATCATAATGGAGTGATGTTACAGATTCTCTAATGGACTGTAAAATCCATTAGAATGACTACAAACTCCCCCGCAAGGTATTATTCAATCTAATCAGAAAGATTCGGCGCCTGTTCAGATCAGCTTCTTGACTTAAATTTATCTCTTATACATAGCAACTTGTCAGCTTCAATAAGTAGAGCAAAATCACCTGCCTGTGGCTAAATGAGATTGAAAGGGATATCACAGTGTTACCGCTCTGGTTTTTGAGTCAAGGTTTTTTTTTTCTTTAATTTCCTGCTAAACTGAAGAATGCTATTATTTCCTGCTTAAATCTGCAGCACAATTTAAATTAAAGGATTGTGAGAAAATGTTGGTTAACTAAATCTTCTATCTTCTGTTTATTACTGGACAGTTTGGGTACTGTGGGGAAAATAGGGCAAAATATTTTATTTGCAAGAAATTGCTGGTTTTCAACATATAAACTGAGTTGGTGTCTGTAGGGGAGATTGACCTTGAGATGCTCTCCGAGCTCCGTCTGAAGCACCCAGGGGTGACTGTGGATAACGAGGTGGTGGAGCCCAGTGGCCAGCAGCTACATAACTACAGAGGTACGGGCACGCACTTATCTCGCATACCTACAATTTTTTACTGCATCTGTATATTCAGTTGCCCCTGCAAAACAAGTTTTACAAACAATTTAATTTAACTGCAAATAAGGGGGTATACTATATATATTACTTATTATTGTATCTCTAATGCTGGGAATACATTTTAAAGCTGACCCTGGCTTTCACACTAATACATTAGTAATACAGGTATTCATGTATTAGTAGGGGCATGGTCCTTTAACCCATCCCATATTCAAACCTTCGAGTCAGTATCCCTGAAATAAAACACTGAGTGCCTCCCAGCTCCAACTCTGCTGCTGTCTGACCAGTTTTGACACATATTTCTAGTTCTGCTACCACCCATTATTCACACATACTGTATATTTAAAAAAAGCATATGAAAGTTGTAGGTAACGTGGTGATCCTGAGGTTCCTCATTTCGTGTCCATCTGTGATGCACTGAATGCTCATTATGTTCTGTGTGCCATCCTACGTTTCTTGGCTCTACTTGATGCAGTTTCTGTAGGTGGCTCTCTGAGCTCAGTATCTGTTGAGACACATCTTTGCCAGAATTAGTTTTTTTCAAAAGCACGTTGCAAAGCATGCTGGAATTTGTGATTTCAAGACACTTGCCTCCTTTGAATCGGCAGTAAGTTCACAGAAAAGTCATGGCTGTGTGGGTTTGCATAAGGCAGCTGAAACAAAATTAGTTCAAAATTACTTTAAATTTGGATGATTTTAACTAAATGTACAATGATATATGTAATATAAAATACTACTTACATGTATACATCATTATATGTTTTATCCTACTTTTTTTTACTTTTGTGAATGTTTTGTAACATCATTCAGCTTTAACCAGATGGTTTAATATACAAATACATTTTTATGTTTAATTTAAATTTTTAGGGAATGTTATATTAATAAGACTTGGCCAATTAATTTTGGAACATAGCAAAGATTTGGAAACTTTTCAATAAGAAAGGCGTAATGATACCAAACACGAGAAAATCGAAAGGTGAATTATGAAAATCAACTAATGAGAATAGACAAATAAAACAGATAGAAATCTCTCGCTGGCATTACTTTAAAAACATTACTAGCCCAAGCTGTTCTATTTGGAAACGAAAATATATGATTTTCTTCTTTTTTTTTGTTTGTTGTTTAATTAGTAAGTTTATGCAAAAAATCTCTTGTTAACTTTACTTCAATATTAACCTCAATATATAATACTTAAGTAACTAATAATGCATAGTGTTTTCTGAGTTTAAGGTCAAGTGTGTAGGATTTATTGGCATCTAGCCTTGTAGTTGCAGATTGCAACTCACTGGTTTCAACTTCCCTTTCCAAGTGCGAGGAAAAAAACTACGGTTGCTGCGAAGTGCACGAGAAATGCAAATGGCCTTATTTAGAGCCAGTGTATGGTTGTCCATTGTGGGCTACTGTAGAAAAATGGCAGTTTAACCTGGCGGCCTCCGCGGAAGGCGACCTGTGGCTTCTGTAGATAAAAACGACTCATTCTAAAGTAACAAAAGCATAATGATTCTTTTATTTGGTTGATTATACACTAATGAAAACATACATGAATATTTTATTACATTTCTGCTAATAGAGCCTTGTAAATATTACACACTCGACTGTTATATGATATTCACAAAGCAACATGTAGTAACAATACAGATTCTGATATCTCGCATTGTAACACTGTTTTATAGATTTATGTGTCTATTATATTCCATAACTTAAGTTTTGTGTCTGTTGATGCAGTTCTGGTGTCACAGAAACCTGGTTTAGATTACGTCAAATTTAACTGGAACAAGATGACTGCCTCTGAGTTTGAGGAGCACTGGAAAGTGAAAAAGATGACTAAGAAAGCAGACTTCATTCACATGATACAGGTTGGTGTTGGAAACCGAGTGCTTCTGGCCCACAGACTGTATTTTTGACACATCTAGGTCATATTCTTTTGGCAGCGCTCCACAGCAATTAATCCCATTAGAACATCTGTCTAGCATAGCGTTATAATTAGGTGCTCTATGAATCCAGTTACCAGCTCATTATCTGTGGTGAAATCAACAGATGCTGTATTATGTGAAGGATCCTGGAGCTACCATCAGCTTCTTCCAGAGTCTCCTCGAAAAGAATGGGAAGCTTCTTATCATTCTAGTCTCTGGTAAGTGGATGGATCTAATCTTAAATTATGAAGACATTTTATCTTTTCCTTCTCACAGGTTAGTTATGCACTTGGTACTTATACATACAGTAATGGGTTGCAATTTAGCTTAACAATGTATCTCAGAAAAATCACTCTTACTGTACTGTGGTTATCATTATCATCATTATCCTTAGTATAAGAAACCCTCGTCTTGCATTCTGGTACATACTGTACAGATTTATCATGGAGTAGATGGGGAAACATTTTTATTCCACATGTATTGCTGGGAAATAATAATGCACACTCAAAACAACACAATTATGTTATCATATTATAATATTATTGATAAAATGCCATTTTATTTCAGTAATTACCAAGATCTCACTTCTGTTGGTGTGGCTTTGCTGTCATTAAATAAGACGCCCTCCATTGTTTTCATGGCTGTAAGGATGGCTATGTCGGCCCATTACTTTCTTCCAGACTGAAAACAACATATTTGATTAATTTGATGAATCCTACTGACTCAGGTGATCTCTTGGTTTTTACTCTAAACCCACCATGAGCATATTTGTGGTTTGACATTTGTGGATATAAGTGAAATGTTTTAATTACTTAATGGATTGTCATGAAATTTAGTTTACTCATTCATGTTGCTGTTTTAGTTGTCCTATATAACCTAGACCAGATGGATATTGCAGCATATGTGTGCTACTGACGTTTATGAAACATTTTGTGTATTTTGTGGTGCCGCCTGATTTAGTGGCATACTGCTGGACAACGCTTAAAGCTGCAGTAGGTAACTTATAAAAATAACTTTTTGTTATCTTTGCTGAAACTTTCTCTATATTCTGACAGCAATACATGAGACAAATCTGTAAAAAAAAAAAAAAAAATACCTACTGCAGCTTTAAGAGCAGTTTCACAGAGCTACTAGCATGGCTGTAGTCTCAGTCTTGTTTTCATCTCATCTATTCCAGGTGAGAGTGGATGGGGAAACCTGTGGCGGACTTACAGGAGCCAGCTCTGTAACACAGAAATAAGTCAGTGTGTGACTACTGGAGACATCAAAAGCTTCCTGGACTCCAAGGGAGTGAGCTACCAGAGCTACGAGCTGCCATCTCAAATGGATATCACCGAGTGTTTCACTGAGGGGGATGAGAAGGGAGAGCTGCTGCTTGATTTTCTCACTGAGGTGCTGGACTTCAGTAAGACAGCCCCACCTGAGCTGAGAACTGGTGTCTTGGAGTTACTTCGGCACCCAGACTGTAGTGTAGAGTCCAACGGCAAAGTTATTTTTAACAACAACCTTGGAGTAATAGTCATAGATTAGCTCACTTAAAAACAGGCTGTTAATAAAGTGAATGTTAAATTTAGAACCTAGTTGTTAAATTAATTAAAATGGGCTGATTGTTTTAAAATTGTTTGGTTTATAAGCTTTTTTGTAAGCTTTTAGTCTTTGTGAAATGCTTTGATGATCAATTCTGTACAAACCTGCTTCCACACAACCTGAACCTGATCTCCAGGAGCCTTTTTTGATTATATAGGTTTTATAAAAGTAGTTATAGGTGTAGATACCAGTATTCTTTATTAATTATTTATATTCATATTTTTATATATACAAAATTAAAAATGTCTTGATTGTAATCTTCTTTCCTAAACCAATTTTGTTTCGAGCCACCCAAACAAAATGTAATGATCACAATTTTAATCAGATTCAGATATCAGCTTCAGATTCTACGTCATATAATTTTTATGGGCTACAGCTGGCAGGCTGTGCTACCAACCACATTACACTGCTGCTCTCATTGGATCCTATTACTTTGGAGATATAAAAATAAATGGAAAATTGAACATTACATTTTCCATGGAGATCGAGCTGTTAATTTTAGATAAGCTGAACACTCCTGTCGGGGTGTCTTTTGTGTCTTTGCTTTTGAATGTTGTACATTGAAATAGTTGCAGATTACATTTACATCACAGAGACATATTAAAAACCTCCATCTTTTTATGGTTGTCTTTCTATTTTGCATGGTAGCTGTATATGTATATTTCCATATTAATAATTGTTAGACTTTAAAATACACACAAATTTCTTGTAAATATTTTTTTCCTGTCTCAAAATTGTTTTAATATGAGGTATAAAACATGGCTGAACTGACTGGAAGATAAAGCAATGGTACTAACTAGTTTATGTAATTTATATTTGCTTTATTAACTGTCTTTCCAGGTCAATGACTTGAGCCTATATGTTTCACTGATTTGGGGCTCTAGTGTGGCTTATAAATGCAAAAATAAACAACCAACCGGTACAGAAGGGCTTTTATACTGACTGTGATAACTCTACACAACCTAAATTTAATTATACTTTGGAAAACCATATATTCAGCTTTACAACCTGCACCAGCGGTAGGTACAGACTGACATTTGCAATGTATTGGTTAGGTAAACACTAGCAAAATGGTAGCTGCTGGTCTCAGCCAACAAAAGTATCACTGATATATGAAGTATTGGCACCATCTTGAGGGCAACATTAGTAACTGTCTGTGTGATATATGGGTGGGCAGATCAAGGGTACAGATCACAGACAACTTAAGGAACTTAAGAGACCACTGATCATCTATATTACAAAAGGCGTAAAGCTCTCTCTCTCACACACACACATTAAAACTAGACAGCAAACACTAAAATCATATGCAATGCTGCTGTAGAAAACTATAAAATAAAATTGTGAAAAAAACAACTGAAATTACTGCACTCTGCTATCTGAATAAACACAGAGATCATATCTGCAGTAAAGTGTCTTAACTTAATTAACTGTGGCTGCAAAAAAACATGTACATGTTTAAAGATTGCTTTTGACTGCACCAAATTAAAAACAAGCTTGAAATCTGTTATTTTATGTTTTGTAAGGGAATGTGTGTGACAATGAGTTGATATAAGATGCCAGCTCAGCAACAGCAGCCAAATGCTCATACATGAATGTTCTGATTCTAATGTTAAACACATGTACATCAATTATTAAACATACAATAGTAATTATATTAGCCGAGCTGTGTTGTACAAGACTTCTGGTTGGTTTGAAAGATGATGAATAACAAAACAGCAAAGTAAATTAAAATGTTCAAATTTTTCATTTTTTAGGGTTAGTTCTGTGTTTGTGTTTCCTGTTTTTGAAATACAGACACAATTAAACAGGTTTGAACTACATGCAAACAATTTATAGGAAAATCACGCAAAATGGTTATTATATTCTTCTTTAAGTCATTGGCTGATTCTTTCTTGAGGGATAGCATTTTGCGTGGACATGATTGTTACAGCAAATAGAAACACACTTAAACTTAAAAAGCTAAAAAGTACTTTTAATTCCTATAACCCACTATGAATTTATGTGCTCAAACTTTAGTTTAGTTCCATTCTTATGACCATTTATAGGACATTGTATACAAACTGGCCCTGTTGTTAATAAATTGATTTTTGGTTGATCCAAACCTTGATTTTGTCCAAAACTGAACCAGGTCGTGTTGTCTAGTCAAACTGCAACTTAAAATGATAAGTCAACATTGACATTTTGTTTCACATGGGACGCACACCCTGGTCTCCTGGGTGAAAGTCCTGTCTTTGACCCATTTATCCATCACAACCTCCTCCAGTATGGACTTTGTCACTCTATATACTACCTCACTTGACTTCCTAAACCCTTTCCGACAGAAAGCCCTTAAGGCCAGCCTTTCCCATGTGCCCCTTCCCAGAAGGTAAGCAGTCAAAGAGTCCAGATGAAGCTATCTGAGATGATAAAGCAAGATCTAGCTGGAAGATTTTTCACAACCTGGCGACCCAAACATTGATACTATTAATGAAGATGATGCAAGGGGGGTACCAAAAACACTACTAACTACTATTCTGACCTACATAAATGGCAAAGTAAAGCACATCTCAACCCATCATTTTATTATCTGATTGTATCTGCAGAGAAAAGATCTAATCAATTAAGCTTTTTCCTTCCATAAGCTGAACTAAATACTGATGCATTTTGGACCAGTTGTTTTTGGTTGTCAGTGTTTTCACCTTGAAGTTATAAATCAAGATGCAATCGATTTTAGTGATGGGCAAAGAGAACTTACTCACCTGGCAGATTCTGTAGTGGTCCAACTTGGGAATGGCATGTAAAACCCACAGAAGCACTGCAGATAAGAGCATATCCCAAGCACAACAGCCGATACTGTGTGATGAAAGTACAGGTGCTGACATTCCCAGCAGCATGGGACAACCTTTCACTGTATGGTGTAGCAGGCGTGGAAGAGATAATCTTTAGTCCTGGTTTCCTTGGTTCAGGGTGAATCTTCACAAAAATAAGTATTTTAAGTGTTTTTCTATGTGCCATACCATTTTCTATAATTGGTTGTAAAATTATTCTATATGTGGCTTCAGATTTGACATAAATTACCATAAGTCTGAAGTTGGAAGTTTAAATCTGCAATCCTGCAAGGGTTGATGTTGCAATAAATGTAAAATAGCCATAACTCAACAATCTATGATTCAGCAAGAATCATCATGTATCGGATGCATACATACATACATGCATTAATATGGGATACATTGTATCCCATATTATAGGCATATGCCTATTTGATTTTTAGTGGCTATGCAAATTTGGATCCAGGACACTCAATTTATCCTATATAGGGTCACATGAGGCTGGAGCCAATCCTAGCTCACATTTAGCAAGACTGGAACCCTGGATTAGATCTGCAGTGTACCACAGGGCTAACTCATACACACAGACAAACACATTCACACTCATACTCACTTTAGAGCTGACAATTCACCTAATCTGCATGTGTTTGGACTGTGGAAAGAAACTGGAGTCCCTAAGAAAAGGCTCCTGCCAGCCAGTGGTTGTTGAGCAGCAATGCATATTTGATTTGTTTCTTAAATAGCACATTTAGAAGATTGTGTTGGATGACCTCGTGTTTTTGTATTTTTTTTATTAATTTTTAGTTCAAACAACTTTCTTACAGGTTCAAAGTCAGTCTTCTATAAAGATACATCTCAGGTTCTCTCTTAAAAATGAGTTGTTCATTGTACTAAACTTATCTTACAGATGCAGGAGCTGCAAAAATTTTGCTTTGCCAAATAATAAAGCGTTGACACCCCATTGCATTTCATAGTTATATATCAGAAGCAAAAACCGATAACTAATAAGATGTTTTCCTTGTTAGTGTAAAAGTATCCATAGTAACCACGACCATAGCCAGCTATGAGACCACCAAGGTCCAAACATCTGTATTTATTTCCTAAAATCAAAATTTCATATAACAAACTGTATATGTATATCATATACTGTATAATCAGGAGTTTCGGTCGTCTCTATACTTTAGGTGCTCTGTTTGCAACTCATTACGTTATTTAACAAACATGTAAGGAGTTGTCTAGTACAGTCCCGTCATTCTGTTGACTCAGTGAGTGAGGGGGCTGTAACCTACATACACACAGCACTGACTACAAGATCAGTCAACACTGTGTTTGTTTAACACCTGAGCTCACAGACTATTAATCTACGTGCTTTTAAAACACGACATGTGCAAACTTTTGCGCACAGAATAGTAGTATAGTAGTAACTGTAAAATGCTGATCATGCTTGCAAAAAAAGTGGTGACAGTAAAAATGAGAAAACAAAAGTTGAGTAGCTAAGTTTAACTATTAAACATTTGAAGCAAATCTCTGTTGGGATTTTGGGTTGTTAATGGTGAGAATGATTTCGAAATAGCCACTGGAATAAATATATGGAGAGGAATCTCACAGCACAGCTGCGGTTGGCTCTGATGTACATGCAAAGTTCATCTTTCAAAAGTTACGCAACAAAAGCTCATGAGAGCTCCCAGCCTGTGGGAGGGGCGAGTAGCTGCAACTTTAGTGTGGGAGACCAACCAACTCTCCAACTTACCAACTCTCTGTCCTTACTCTCCGCATACTCAAGGTAATTGAATATTTGAAATGAACAATTGACATTTGCCTCATTTAAAGTTTTTTGAATAGTTGTTTTTCCATGCATAAATCATAGCTAATTATCTGATTTCCAATGTGTGCAATGCATTGCAGGAACCAGTCATGGCTGCAGAAACAAAGCAGAGTTGTTATGAGGGCAGTTCTGTCCAAAGCTTTCAGTTCTACCTTGAACACTCTGGAGAGCATAAGGCCATTCTCCAGTGTGTTTATGACGTCCTGCCAGGAGAATTTAAAAGGTACCAGATGAAAAACTGGGTGTGCCACACTGCACTTGTTTATTTATTTATTTATTTTTAATCTTCTAACTATTTTTACTACTTAACCTGTCTCAGTTGTCTTTTTGTGCACTTTGAAGATTTGACAAAAGTTGTAGAATGTCCTTTAAAGGGGAGATGAAGAGATGAGTTGTGCTACTGTAAGAAAACCAGAACCTTTCTGTTGGGTAAAAAAAAAAAATTCAATTTGCAATTTTCCATGTGCAAACAACACTAATAACACTGAGGCACAGTGCAGTTTTATTACAGTACTCCTTTGGCACTAATGGCTTTTTTCACTTTAATACATTTTCATTCAGAACATTTTTTAAGACAGACTCTGCACTGTTTTAGAGTAATTAATGAGAACAATGATGCCATCCAGAACTGCTTGTAGGATGTACTGCACTGTTCCTGTAATTTCCTGTTTCTATACAGAAGCAGGCTTGATATATGCTTTACATATAGTAGTCTCTAATTGGAAGGATGTTTTATGCCTATATACACATGGATTTATTATAAAGTAACATATGATAAATATTGCATACAATTGAAACTACTTGAGGGGTGAGATACTATATACTACTACTTTTTTATATGTTTTGTTTAAGACAATTGGAGAGTGAATTGTTAACAATCAGGCCAAAAAACTGTCAAATTACTGGTATTAATCAACATTCTAGTGACATATTTTAGTTATTATGTTCTATTGGGTGAGAAAAAGGGATTTAATTTTGCCATTTTAACTTCTCATTTGATTACAGTCAGTTTTCCATCTATCATGATTTGTAGAATTGGAGCAGATAAAAGCAGCTTGGATGTTCTTGGTGTCGGAAGTGGTGGAGGTATGTGATGAGATACAGCAACTGGCAACTGTTTAACAAACACATGTTGTTATGGTTACTAACTGTAGTGTAATTTGCATGATGGCAAAAATCCATGAGTGCAAGGGACTGCATTGTTTTGTGATTTATAGGTTCAAAGAAACAGCTTCATTTAAAGGACACAGGGAAATACACTGCTCAGTTATGTTTATTATATATATTAATATTTCCCCTACAGACAGCTCAGTTGCTGTCAGGACTCCCACTGTGGGGGAAAAATGTGACACTTTTTCCAAAATAATGATGCTACATTGAATTTGGCCATGGGGTTTTCACATTGAAGCAACATTACAGTGAGGCTCCCTGGTTTGTTGCAGGGGAGGTGGATGTCCAGATTCTCACTCTGCTGCAGTCTACATTCCCTGCTGTCCCAATCATTGCTGACATTGTGGAGGGCAGCTCTCCGCTCACAGATAACTTCAAAGGTATTGTAATGCTGTACACAACCAGTGAAATGTTTTTGTTTTATAATGTCTAGTCCTGTCCCTTCGTCTTCTTCCTTATTTCTTCTGAACATTTTGTGAAACAAAATTATTATTATATCATTTTTAGTAATAGTAGAAGTAATCGTGGTCATTTTTTGTTATATTTGTCAGAAAAGAACACACACTGAATTACCTACAGCCACATTTATGACTCTTACACAACCCATGAGGTCTGCCGAAATATCCTTAGCTACCCATTTGTCACGAAACAGAAAACACAATTTGATATACAGTATATTCCTATTAACATATGCCAGGTATAAATGTAAAAACAGCTTGAACTTATTAACCTTTGGCTATCAACGCTGCCTGGTAAATGTGTAAAAAAGGGGGAAAAACAACCATACATGTATGTGGGAACATAAATGAGATATCTACTGATACACAAATACACTTTTTCTGGCCATTGCATGGTGGACTTGATCCACACATTCCTCTAAACTGAAGTTTACTGAAGTAAATTACTGCTCTAGCCCAGACTGCAATAAAAGCATCTCCTTTTTATTATAACACTAACTGTGGTACTGTATATCTATCTGATCATAATCTATGCTTAAGTCATGGTTTATAATATAAATTGTCGCCATATACTGTATATCTCAATGTTGTATTTTATGTCCAACTTATAGCTTTGGTAGCAAAGACCACCAACCTTCAGAAAGTGCCATTTGTTTGGCATATCATGAACAGTGAGGACTATGAGAAGCAAGTCAAAACAAAGGGAGACATGAAGAGATTTGACTTCATACACATGATTCAGGTATTATTACTTTGCTTTTTGGACATTCAATGTAAGAATGATCTAATGACAAGAAGAAGGCTTTGCTTGTTCTCTCCATGTTGGCTTAGGTCACCCCCTGAACAAGTACTGTAAACTTTATTAGAGATTTATTTAGCTCCCCACTGAGCCCTCCACTGCTGCTTGGTTTCATTGGGGAACCTCAGCAAAACCTTTTCTGGTAAAACAATTAGTTCTATAAATAATCATCATAGATACTGTCCTCTGGCATGAGTGTCCCTGATTAAACTACAGTGAGTGAAAACATTTGGGATTTCATGTAGCCAGCTTCAATCCGAAAGGTCAAATTAAAGTTTCCCCATAACTTCCCCCCTGACAGATGATCTACTATGTGGATAACCTCGCCAATACAATCAAGTTCTACCACAGCCTCCTGAAGAAGAATGGCAGGCTTATGATCATCATTGAAGCAGGTAAAAAGAACTTCTTCCACCTAATCCCCTGTCCCCCTCCACTCCAAAATATATTTTTCTTCTTGTTCCTACAGTTGTTGTTTGACCTTTATTGTGAAGAATGATATGTGTGCAGAGTTTGACACTAGAAGGATGTTTTCACATTCATCTGCTGAAAGTTGAAAGTTTCTCTGTGCTCACTGAAAATCAGACTTTTAAGAGGCGGGGCTACGAGCATGATTTGTGATATCACAAATTGGAACTCAAACCTTGTCCAATAATTAACTTATACAAGTGTGATGTAAGAACTTGAAGCCGTCAGTGCATATGAGCACACTTAGAATGGACTTTACAGTGAAGCAGGAGACACCTTGTGTCCAGCAAAACATTAAGAGTGAACAAAATTAGCATATTCATTGAATCTGGGATGTTTAATGAGGTAGAAGGAGTAGATGTCTTTTGAAGGACTTCAATGTGGAAAAGACACACATTATTGTTCAAAGACTATTTGTATATATCTTAAATACATTTCTGTAGGAGATATTGAATCATTACTGAAAAACAAACATGTATGAATTTTACTTCATTTATCCAGGCCAATACTGATTTTTTGTGTTGGAAAAAAAACAATTCAGATGATTACATTGATATGTACATTTCTTCTTAATGTATTTTTTAAATTTCTGACTATCCAGGTAACGCTGGCTGGGACACCCTTTGGAAGACATACAAGAAGGAGCTCTGTGTTGACGCAATCACAGAGTACCGCTCATCAGCAGATGTTATTGCATGCCTGAAGAGTCAGGGTCTGAAGTACGAGGAGCACGCCATTCTCAACACCTTCGACATCACAGAGTGCTTCAATCCAAGCAGCCAGACTGGAGAACGTCTGCTGAATTTCATGACAGCAAAAGATCACTTCTACCAGTCCTTCACCCAAGAGATCAGAGCAGGCATGTTAGACCTTCTCAGAAACAAGTGCAGCACTGAAAAAGATGGCAGGGTAATGTTCAACAGTAATTTGAGCTGCATACTCGTTCATGCTTGAGTATGGAAAAATGTCTTTTCAGTCTATACTCACATCATTTATTCTGTATGTGTACCAAGCTGATTAATAAAACAATTTAGTTATTAATTACTTTTTACTCATTTATTTTTATCTTTATTTTTTCTAAATTGTGTTTTTTATGTATTTTGTGAGGCACTTTATGATATCTGATCTAGAAACGATAAATATAATTTTAGTCATGCTTACTTACTAAATGGCAAACATATATCTGGTGAAGTGAAGCATTTAGCTGCTAAAGAGCTGGATAATTTCCTATCCGGATTAGTTAATAGAGGCTAAAAAGAAGAAAATGTAGAGTGAACTTTTTCACAACTTTTTTAGGTGGCCAGAAACACAACTCCACTTGCTCTGTATTTGATGTGTATGCAGGGCACTGTTAACGCTGCTAACAAGCTTAAAATCAACGTACAGCGTTATACGTCAGTGTTGTGTTCACACACTGACATATTTGGCTGGCCCAGTATTTTTCACCAGTATGGGGTGTCAGGTCAGGACAGTGAGACTGGACTTTATTGGACTTTTATTGATTTTAGTACAGGCTTTAACCATGGACTTTGAAAGCATACGTTTGCTAGCTACCAATTACTTTTCACCGGAAGAGGTTGAACTACAGGAAAGCTACTCAGGGAGAAATCTAGTTTGGTTAAATAAAGCTACTTAGAAAATAAAAAAAGTGAAATTTACAATGTATATAAGATACCAAATTACAACAAAAAATACACAAACGCCACATGCCAGCAAAAAAATGCCTTTTTTTGCAAAAAGTGCCACTATGCAAGCATAGCTGACAAGTAAAAAATACAGGTTTTTCTAGTCAGTGCTATGTATTTGCCTAAATGTGGCCATGGTCTTTCTTCCTTAGGCTGAGATTCACAAGGTTTATGCATGATGACACTGTCGCTGTGTGAGCACTGAGCAAGCCTGCCCTTTTGCACAATGCGCTACACAAAGGGCAAGTGTGTGGTGTGGGCTGCCTGACAAATGCACTGACTGGGCTGGTCGAAGGACGCTCAATTACAATATAGAAGCAATGATATAATACAAAATATTTGTAGTTTCAGTAGTTAACTATACAAAAAATGACAAAAAAGCTACCAGAAAGCTACTTCAAAATGTAGTTAAACTACTAGTTTGCTTGCATGCAGTTCACTACTCCTGAAAATTGTGAACCACAAATGCAAGCCCAACAGTAATTTTGATAATTTTCTTTTGTTTTACCTCAAGAAATCTATACCTTGACAGATACATGTTGTAGATGGACTGAATATTATATTATTAATATGAATATTTAAGTTTATTAATTGAAAAGATAGTCATAAATTACAAGGGGTTTAAACAGCTAATACTATGTATCTATCTGTATTGAGAAAACAATCTCAAGTCCGGCACTCTGCCAGTCTGTATTAGCATGAAATAATTAATTTCGTTTTTAAAAATGATCATGGCATACTTCAGATTTGCTTTATCACGATGTAAAAGTGCCACAAACTGAGGCCTACTGCTACCTAAGCTAGCTGCCATGTTTAGGGTCCAATGGGGCGAATGTATCTAATAATACCTGCAATTAGAAGTAGACACCTGATAGCAGTTTAACTTCTGCCACAATGAAAACAAGCAACAGCATTGACAAGCAATTAATTTATCATTTCTTTTTGACAAATATCATGCTTATAGATGTTCAATATTCTTAAAGAGAGCTAAAGTAGTAATAAAAATAATTCTCTTTAAAAACTTGAGCTTCGCCATGATGCTGTTCACATTAAAGCCAGCAGATGGTACTATATGTCTGAGAATACAGGTAACCCTGCATCTGTGCTCTGTTACAGTAACTCCAGTAGATGGCACACTGATCTTACATTTAGACATGACATTCCAGCCAAGAGTAAAAACACCAACTTTTATTAAACATAACCAAAAAAAAGTATGCCTAATGTTTGGAAAACAGTTCCTTTGGACCCATTTGTTATTTGCCCTGTCCTTTCAGTTCTCACTCAGCAGGCTAATGCAGAGACACTTCTAACAGTAGCATGAACACATAGTGCCTGCTGTGGCTGCACACGCACAAAATCACGTCAAACCGCCATGGTCTTGTCTCGAGCTATCTAGCAAATGTATTCTGGCTGCTCATTTACCTCATTAGCTTTAATAGATCAGTAATTGAAATTCATCAGAAATTCTTGTCAGTGCACTCCCCCCTGATGTCAGTGGGCTTTCAGCACCTGCTCAGGCTCCATTACTGGGGGTCCTCGCTGGGCCCTCTCATACCACAGAGTGACAGAGCATTAGTCACTGAGATAATCAACCTCAAGACACTGTTTGCCGTTAATGCTCTTCAAGAACTATTTACTTCATATGCCAGTTGGTGTCTTATCATAGAAGAAGTTCTCTGCTGGATAAATGTAATGAAATGTTCACAGATCACCTTGTTTTTGAGATGACTGATTATACTTAGGAGTGCTGAACAGCTGGATATTGTTATTTTCTATCTGCATATTGTTTTTATTTACTGCTCATTAGCGGATGGCATAATGACAAGCCATAGTTCTCCATAGTGTTTGATGTACATTTTACTGGCTTTGTATTGTACATGCAATGCTGTGAAAATAGTGATCAGAGCATGAAATACTGAATTCATAAATACTTATTTGCCACTGTCACACAAATCCGACATTGCAGCTGTTCCAAAAAGTTGACATGGTTGTGAGAAGCATCCAGGTGAAAGCCTTCTTCAGAAAAGAAAGCAACTTTCTTCAGACCATCTGGCCAGCTATTAGTACTGAACCTCCAGCCTCTGGCTCTGTAAGGTCCTCATCGGTGTAGCTTCACTTATCTTTAGTGTAATGAGGTAACAGGCCATGTGTTAATTTTTTTCTTGACTTGAGTATACCTCCGTTATTTTTTACTTTATGTTGTAGTGATTTGTTACACACAGTAAAGGCAATTTGGTCCACATGTAAATATGTTTGTATGCCTAACAAGTGTGTTAAAATGGATGACTTTCTGAAAGCAGCAGAATAAAAATTGTTAAAAAAAAGAAAGAAATAGAAGGTACTTGACTTCAGAGAAGCCAAGGCTGGCTTAGATCAAATAAATGAACGAGGTTTGGTATCAAAAGAACACAAACTTTTTCATTGAAACATTATTGTTCATAGCACTTAACACATCATTAACATCACCTTGACACCAACTAACACCTTAACAGCTACTGCACTTACTGTAACAAAATCATTACTAATATTAAAGGAAATACTTCTGTTGAAGGTAATTCACAGCTAATGGTTTGACATATCTGTTGTCACTGCAGGATGTACTCATTGTTGATATCCCTGTACAACAAAAGTGTTTTATTTTCTCTACAAGCACCTGCTACCTTCTTCATTTGTGAGATTGCTTCCCAATAATCTTTTGTTTCCTAAGCTTAATAAAAAAAATTACCACCCAATGCCAAATTGTAAGAAAGGTATTAAAACTAATCCTGGCTATCATCTGGACATTTTAAAGGCAAAAGCAATGATGGCATGTTGGTATGTAAGCTCGCTATTCGGCCAAAGTGACTCTTCAGATGTCTATCTTCTTTAATACAGCTCCTCTCCTCTGGTCCCCTCTGTATGGAGAGCCAATATCAGACCAGAGGCGTCTTCTATCAGCCATCATGTCAGTGTGTAGATCTCTCTGAGACCAGAGCAGGACATGCTCTGGCCCTAAAATACATCACACACACTTTAATTGAGGCTGCCGCCGGGCCTTGAAATATTGCTCTTATACCAGTCCTGTAAATGGCCGGCCTCTGCGGCATATTTCATTCTGGAGAATTAGTCCTGTTTAGCAGCTGCTGTTATATAGCAGCTGTCCTCCACAGGTCTGAGGCCGGCAGAATAAGGCTATTTGTTTGACAATTGACAATTTTTTTTGCCTTTATAAAATTCTATCTTACATCAATTAAGTCAGTATAAAACAAGGTGAATATTTCAGTTGCAGAATTCTTTTTCTGTCACTGAGGTTGAATTGTGCTGCATAGAAGTGAACCTATAGCCTTGCTGGCTTAAATCAATCCAAGGTGATTCACCACAAATCAAAAAGGGTGCAATGGAGTGACTCTGCCCTAATCAAGTTTACCTTTGTCTGTCTCATTAATCTAGTGATTCGAGGCCATATAGTCAGATTTTCAAGACTGTTCCTGTGGGTGTGAATATGGAGAATTGCCACAGATAAGCGATGGCACCATATTTATTCTGCATGCCACATATTGCATGGTAGTGTAAGTCGATAAACCAGGCCAAAAATGCCACTAATTGACCCCTGCTGCTCATATCTTGATCAATTACAGATAAGACGACACATTTAGTGAATTCATAAATGATATGTTCTAGTTTAGGCCTTTTGTTTTTCTGCAGCAACTGTGAAAGTTCTGTAGAGAGGAAAAGTTCAAGTGAAAAAAAGGCTACTTCTAAAGAATTTTATATGTGCCTGACAAACGGTGATAACAATTTTGAGAAACAACTTGATGTTGACTCTAAGCCATGCTCTTTTAAGCCCATATTTGCTCATTTGATAAAAGTGACAGTGACTCTCTCTGTCACTTGTTCACTTTGTCAACTGAGAGAGTTCCTGAGGGCGAGATCCTCCTTAATTACACTCAGTGACGTTTACCCTCATTAAACACCCCAATTCCCCTCACATGGTGCAGTGTTTGGGGCTGTGCTTGTCATTTACTGTTGACGGATGTGGAAGGAACAAACAAGAAAGCTTTAGCAATGTCAGTTGTTTTCCTCATGCAGTGTTTGCTCAGATGAGTAAGGTTAGATGAATATATTGGCTATCAGCATATCATGACAGATATCTGTTACCTCTGATATTATTGAGCTTCCACCAAAAGCATGTTTTTAAAAATCAAAACCTATATGTTTTTTTTTTTTTTTTTTACAAATGTAGCACATTTTATATGTACACATAACATATAATTTAATTAGTCTGGGATTCAAAGGAAGTTACATAAGTTAAGGTTTAGAGGTTTAGTGATCCTGTTGCAGAGGATAACCATAGAAATCTTCAACACTATG